TTGTTCAACATTGCTCATGCTTTACCTTTTTAATCGTCGAGTATTTCGTAACACATTAGTTCATTCTATAGTAACACTTAAATGCGTTTTGATCATTGTTGAACATTGTAACATTTGGGAACCGTGACCCATTTATTCTGCCAAATGTTTCCTGTAGTTTATTACCCTCATTGTTTTGCACGATGACCCTGTGGTAATCTAATCTGAGATATGGTTAATAATATAATCGCACCATCTGTCGCGACTCACGCGAGAGTACTTGATTGTAAATCGTTATCAAGGAATAATCCAAAGTTGATTAATTAATCTGGATAACCCTGCTTCACTAAATCTATTCACGTGCAAGAATCCAGCGAGTTCCGGAGATAGCGCGTTTTCTCCACTGACAAACCAAAGAAGATAACCTTTCCCTGTCAGAAGTCGCGCGTCTTCTTCTTCTTCTTCTTTCGAATGGCGAGGTGAAATTAGCAACGTCATATTCTGTATCCGCGTGTGAATATTGAGGTTATTAAGCCATGCCAGTAGTCTCTGTGTGAGGATTGGTGGATGTCGGTGATATTGCCCTGTGGCACGGCGGTGCAGGGTCCACTGTGGGATGATGTGATCCATGGTCTGGCTCTGGTGACGGCAATCGCGCGTGGAGTTTCGTCAGCTCTTTCATCGACAGCAACGTCAACATCGGGAATGGGGGTGGAGGTAGTCCGGGTGGCTCGGAGGTCAGAGCATTGCCCGGTGAATACAGGCAGCAAGGATATCAGGTTGATGGTCTCAGCTCTCTTCCTGGTCACCAATGACTGTAGGGGCAAGTGCTATTCGTGAGCACCTATGAAGTCCGGCACGCCCCCCCCCCACGCACACATATGAAATATTGCAATCCTTACTTGGATTCACTCCAAGCCCTACAAACCGATGACAGCCCTACCTCTCTATGGCGAAACTCCTGGTTTACTGCAAACATCACCAATCGCAACCTGGTAACTGACCCGAGCAGTGAAGTTCCAGGGTTCAAACCTTCCACTGACAACTTGGACAACCCTCGACCGCTTGAGGACCTAGCCAGGGAAGACGATGTGACAGCCAATTGCTTCACAAGTGGAACGTGAGGAGCAGCCCAGAATGTGACCGTGGCCACCCAAGTCAAACGGTCGCCTCGCGTTACTCAAACTCCTGCCCTGAGAGATCCATTCCCGGTGACATCGCAACCATTCACACTGCCTCGCCTGAAGCCGTTGAATTGATGGTTAACCTCGACATCAAACTACGACTGCTTACCCAGCCACACGAAGACGAAGAAGAAGACCGACCAGGGTGAATTTCAATGCCAACCCCTTGCCCCCGCGTCTCCAGATTTTCCGATGAAGGCCACAAGATGGCAGAGTGAGCACGAGACATTGTAAGCGCGATGAAAGTACAATTTTCAACATTCTCGTGCATTGGTGTATCCCGTAAAAGACAACAGTTGCATGAGACGATTGTGTCAAAATTCGAAACAAATTGGCACTGAAAATTGACTGAAGTTGAATTCCAAGTCGGCGCATGAATGTTCATAGTTGATTAATTGTAACATTTGGAAACAATTGGAATTTAATAGCATCCGGCTCCCAGAATGTTTCGTGTAATGACATGGATTAGAAACATGGACATGGATTAGACACGTGGACGTTAACCATAGATTAGAGGAGAAAAACTGAAAAGTGGAGAGATGCATGCTTGGAAACGCACCGTGAGACAAACAGAGGAATACATGGAACAGGATACAAACGACTCCGGTATGTAATGGTGACGAAGAAAATTAAGTGTGCTTGGGCGGAACACATCGCTCAAAGGGTATGATAGCTGCCGGTCAACATTTAAGGCGGAATGGCAGCAATACAACTCACCACATATGAGAACTCGGTTCAACCACAGGCGACTGCCTGGATTCGAACTCAGGTTCGAAGTGGTGCCAGCTCAGTGCTCCAACCTCCGAGTCAGCCGGCCACGACCTCGTGTGAATGACAGCTGAGTTAAAGCTGCTACACACGCGTGGAATACACACGAGGCTCCTTCCAAAAGTTCGCGTGATGATTCTAGATTTGAAGTTTTCGTGACTGCAAGGATTCATACTCTTTGGTTTTTTCGGTAAAGTCACGTAGGTAAAAAAAATAATGAAAAAACAACTAAATTAAATCACGACGTTTCGGAGGCAACACAAGCTTCCGTCTTCAGGTGGAACCGTCACAGCAAAATTACTGTATCATTTTTTTTTTACCTACCTGAGTTTACCGCAAAAACCAAAGAGTATGTTCGCGCGATGATTTCACCCGAGTGGAAGGGATGTTTGAAATGCAAGGCTCTTCGTATTAAAATCTTTACTTATGATCATTCCTTCCACCCCCTCCCCCCCTCCCTTCAATTGTGTGTCTGTGTCAAATCTGTAAAAAAATGTCCTTCCCCTGAACCTTCGATTACGATGGTTGGCGACGCACGGTGCGAAAGAAGTTCGACATACATCCATACAAATGATGAGAAAATAAAAACCCTTCATAACAGAAATATTGTGCCTGTCAGTCAGTCTGTCATATTTGCTCACATTTATTTTGATGGTGACTTGAGACGGAAGGATTACAATGCAGTTATTTTTTTAATGTATGTTGAACTTCTTTCGCACCGTACGTAGCCAACCGTTCTAATCGGAGGTGCAATTACCACGTATTTGTATTCTCATATTTCCAGGTAAAGCGACAGAGTAGTGGTTAGCGCGCTGCACTACTAACCCGGCGACCCAAATTCGATCCTCCGCACGGCAAACATAAGTGACGATTGTCTAAACCGGTCCTGGGCCTCACTCAGCCTTCATTGAGTAACTGACACGGTATGCAAACATCAGCACTGGGAAGACAAAGGCGGCCGTTAGTCGCCGTGTTAGCCACACCATCCACGCGTGTGCCGTGCTGGCCTCGTTAACACCACTTGCCCCGATAGTCTATGCAGGCTACACGGGGGATCTTTGTCTTTGTGTGCAGTTAGTCACGTGACTCGGCAAGGATTCATCACGCAAGCAGCATTTGCGTAATTAGTTCACGCAAGCAGCGTTTGCGTGAACTAATTGCGTACAACGCTTAATTAAAATATCATCGAATCGCACGCGGACGAATCGATGTATATAAGTTGAAGAACTTAGGTTGATCGCAAATTAACCGCGTGGCACTACTCAGCGATATGCCAATCTACCACCGCAGTTCCGTGTCGTTTCAATTGAAAGTCAAAGTCGACAGTGGAATTTTGCGTGGAAAATGTCACCGACGAGTCGAGCTCAGTGGCTCGCAGGGTCGAATTAAAAGTTCGCGCTCTGACGGTCATTTGTCTGCATGGCACGCACGACCCTTTTTTCAATCCACTGCTGGATGAAAGCCCCCCCCCCCCCTCCACGCCGTGTAGGTCACGAGCGTCGTTTAATCTCACATCACCACACTGGTCAGTGCTGGTTGGTGAAGGAGAGTTGGGGGAGGGGAGCGAGTGGCCGGTATTCATCGAGCTCAGGTCATCTGGTTGTTCATGCTTAGCTTCCGGACCTCTGTGTAGCGACAGTAGCGGTGGGCGCAGTGGTTAGCGCACTGCGACTGCGCTATGAACCCAACTGCCTGACTTCGATAACCATCCACGACTAACATCAAGTAGTGGTTGATATTTTAACCGGTCATACTCTTCCGCTCGTACTGACCAGAATAGTGAAGTATGGTTAAACAACTCCCAATTATCAAAACAGGACGTGGGGGAAGCATTAATATAGTGACGGGTCACATTCAGAGTGTATCCGCGTTCCATAAATAATTTATCCCGAAAGAGAAACATTGGTTCAGGGTTATTAATTGGAACGTCTATCCCTTATGACATCTACTGGCCGGGTGTGGTATCACCCGTGCAGCTATCCCGTAGCAGGGGATAGTGGATCAGGCAAAGATGGAGCAATCTTGCGCACGAGATATACCTTTGTTTCGGGCATTGGAGAGGATGTTACAGCAACGCAGTACAGTAAGTAGGTCTCTATGCATTGAGTGTGAGCAAGACTGCATTTAGATTGGTGAGACAGAAGGAAATTAGTACAGGGCCAAATTACAAAAACTAAGAGTCTTTATGAAAATTATCTTTATTAATTTCTGCTTTATGAGGCTATTTTAATTTCATCATACAATTTTTCCCATGTGGCAGAGATGAACTCTTCCGTAATCGGACCCGGGCTAAACTAAACCACTCACCCCCAGCTCCCAGCAGAACTTCACGCAATCAAAACAGATAAATGTGCAGCCCTGCAATTTCTCCATCACGCCACTGCTAACGGAAGGGTCTCCACTCGAGAGCGGAATGACTACAGAGTACATCTAAACTATACAAAGTATTGTTTAATTGCACCATGTAAGGCCCACTAAGCTCTATAGCTCTGTGTCAGAAGCGACCTGGCGACAAATGATAGCTCAACGAAATGGCTAATGACGTGGACATTTTAAGCATCCAAATACTCTAAACGTATGTTGATTCTAAATGTGGAGGGGAAAACCGGAAGACGACCGGAGGAAAAATCCACGCGACCACGGAGAGAAGAACATGCAAATTCCAAATATACAGCAGGCGTCAGAATCGGGGTCGAAACCACGACCTCCTGGGAGACCAAGCGAGGTAGTTTACAACTCGCCACTCTGGCGAGTACTTGGCCTACTCCTCCACGCTGGTGAGACGCTATTGGAAGAAGAGGTTGTACTCGCACCTTACCCCACCACGTGCAACCTTTAATTCGACTAACTCTGGGTGAACACAAGCGGGGGTGGGGGATATTAAAAAACCAACAACTCTCAATTGTTTCACCTATCGCGCCAGGAGATCGAATCTAGCCGGCGACTTCTGGATCGCGAGTCCATTGTGCTCCCAATTACACGATAAACTAAGAGAGCAGTATAATATACATCAGGTTAAGTATATGGGCGTACGATATGGTGTGTTTGTGTAAGGATCGGGTGTGTGCGTGCGTAAGGGGGAGAGGGAAGAACCGGGGAGGAGGTGGGTGCCCTGGGGGTAAAGACACTTAAATCCGGCCGTGACTGTTGTTCCATCCTACATCTAGCGCACCAAACATCACACACTCCTCTAGCGCACCAAACACCACACACACCGTCATTATTTGCCCACCCGCCCGTAAATAGGTGGTGGTCTTGTTCAATGTAGGAAGGAACTTGAGAAGGGAAGGGGGGGGGGGGGCGAGAGCGCTGCTGTGGTAAAGAACGCGGCTTTTTGTTTTCTTTGAGTTGGCTTTCATTCCAGCGGCGAAAACATCGCCGATGAATTTTGATACCGGGTGAGTCAACACGGATTGAGCATCTGGCGTCGCCGCGAAACCCCGCGAGCGCGGTTTAATGTGCGTGCAGAGTGGCGACACGTCTGTGCGTGCGTGACACATTGCCACGGGGGAGACAAAGGCGGACGGGCGTGGTTCTGAACACCCACCTCTGCGTGCGCTTCGCTGGGTGCTCGCTAACGGCACTTGCCCCAAGAGACCGTCAAGTCTACACATGGGATCTTCGTATTTGTATGTGCAAGTAACACGGGTGGGTATTCACGTGTTATTTAAGTCACTGCACGCTCCGCGCACCTGATAATTGGTAATTACGGAAAGTTGTAGCGTGGAGGGGAAGAGAGTCCCGTGGACTCGAGATGCTGTCGACTATTGTAAGACGAACGTTAAAGACCTTGTTATGACATGTTGCAAAAGTATACGCGAACAGTCGCGGGTTTTATAGTGCGGGTAAAGATGCAATTATTAACATAATCCCCACTTAAATATCAACAAACTATTTCTCACGAGCAGGGGATAAAGAGCTGTATATAGTAATTCCCCGGTTAACGTCGAGGATACGTTCATGAAATGTGCGACAAACATCGAAGCGACGTAAATCAAAGCATTTTTTTCTCTCCGAATCTCCAAAATCTGCTTTTTCCACGCGTTTGTCCCCCTCACGTGGAGGGGGGGGGGGAGGCGCTGTCCTTGCCAACCTCCACGCTGCCCTGTCCTGTGCCATCTCTCTTTCCACTCCTCGGGCCAGCGTGTCCCATCGCACCGCATCGCTCCCTCCACCTCGTCTTCTGCTGCCTTCCTCTTGACCTCTTTCCTTCCACTTGCATCACTTGCACCATTTGATCCACATCGTTTTCCTGTTGTCTCTCCGCACCAGCACTCACTCTCTCTCTCTCTCACCTTCTCGGTGATTTCTGCCACCTTGAGGCTTCCTCTCACTTCTTTATTTCTCACCCTGTCCTTGTTAAACCCAACATCCACGGCAAACATCCTCATCTCTGTCACTGCCATAGCTTGGTCTCCTCTCTTTCTCATGCCCCAGCACTCGGCCCCACCACCGTCTTGTACACTTTTCCGTTCAACCAAACTGGGACACCCCCTCTCATCGCACACCGCACCAGTCAAATCTCCAAAAATACTGTCCTCAAATAATATGTTGTACTCTGCAGTCCAGTACATATGTTCATTGCGCGAAGGCATTGGAGTGGAGGCGAAGGCTGAGGCGACAGAATCAAGGACAGGACGGTTGCTGTCAGCGACGTAAGTGTGAGTCGAGGCGACGGAAATCGTGTAGCAGTACTAATAAAGTGACGACGTATTTGCTAACGTGTTTGTCACAGACCGCCTGACAATACCTGGCGCTGTAGGCTCAGGTTCAAAGGGGCCAGGATATGGCAGTCAAGCAATGGATCATTGAAACTATCTGTGTGGAGCTTGGAGGGTTACCCCCAAGTATGCGTGGGTTTACTGCGGGTTTTGTGTGTGTTTTTTTTTTCTCTCACGTGCACAACGCTCATGGTGTTTTTTGTTTTTTGTTTTAACAAATCCCGATCAAGGAATCTGCAGATCCGATGATGTTTTCTGATCACGTTAGTAAAGGGTGGTGCCACTGTAATTGTTATATGCGCTATTCCGTGCAGTCAGAGCGCATTACGTTGTGAAAAGGGCGCGGTGTTACCACCTGTAGGTAAACTTCGATATAACTCTCTTGCTGGTGCTGTAGACACATTTGACACACATTTCTAGCGCACCAAAGAGTACACACATCCACCTCTGTAGCGCACAAAACTCCACGCACACCTCTAGCGCACCAAACACGGCGCACACATCTCAAACGCGCGGGCAGCGCAATGACTGGCTGTCCCGGGCTGTCTCGTGTTGTTTGTCGCATTCAAATTGAGGCTACAGAGGACGGGGCTGTGAGTTGGATGTGGTTGGCGAGCGTCCTTTGCGCACTCGTACGTCACATTTCCATAATTACACTCTACTTCGCGACAGATGCATTCTGTCTGTGTGCAGCCGGCGCTGCTGTAAGGTGCGAACGAGCGTTGCACAAGCGTTGCACGAGCGCGTTCTAACGCAGGAGGGGGGTGCGGAGGCGTGGAGACGCCGGCTCCAACGCTGCTGATAATGCCACGGGCGCGTTCCCCCCATGTACCGTCTCACTCGCAAATTCAAATCGCGCAGGAGAGCGCCGCGCTATCGCGGGCGCAAATTGGACGACGGACGCGCAATATTTACCGACGATTTAGCTCGGCAATGCTGAACTCGTGCAAATAAAACCGGTATCAATTATTCAGGGTACAGCATTAGTCCTTTCTCGTAAATAGTGCGCGCGACGCGCGCGTGTGTGTGGTGCGGTTAGCACTGCCTCATCTTCCTTTCATCTCCTATCCCCTCCCACTCTCCTCTCTCGCGCTTCCCTCCCCCCACCCTGCTCTCCCCTCGCATCACATCTCGTCACGAGAATGACGCCCGTCAGGTCTGGGAGCGCCTGGCGCACACTAGGATGCAAAGCGCGGCTCGTGACACAAATTGCTTTCAACGCGCGCACTTAACGAAGCTTTCCTGAGACTCCTGCCCAAGGTAAGCCCCGTGCTGCATCTACACACAACCATCAGCTGCATTTTTTTAAATATATGCAAACTTAATACGTGTTTCTTTTTCGCGGGGGTTCGACAGGGGCAACCCCATAGTTTATGTTGAGAGCTTTTTGCCAATGACATTTGGTATAAACCCAGCGGTACTTGTTTTAACAGTCTGTCTCTGCTGATGAAACCCAGAATGTCGAAACCGGCCGAGAGTTTGCTCGTTGCAACAAATGCTAATGGACAATACGGGTCTGCAGAGTCAACAGGCTGATGGGATAAAATGCACATTTATTTGTACGTGGAGATGCATCGTATACTCTGTTGTACTCGCCTGTGCAGTGGCCCAGACGCGCTCGGCACAAAACTCTGGAAGATCGATTGTTATGTCGCCAAGATGTCTGATCTCCTGTGATTATTGTAAAAGTCAAGACACTTGGAGCTGTGCCATTTAGGGGTCATCAGCCGACCGTAGTGGGTTGTGCAACTGCCAATCGTGGTCTGACCAGAATCTGGACGTTGTAGACCAAGAGCCCGACATGCTGTATGAAAGTTACACACTTGCACGCACGTGTTGATATAGTTCGTGGTGGTGGTCGCAGGGGCGGCGGTGGTGGTGGTGATCGTGGGAGTAGTAATTGATGGCAGCGGTGGTGACAATGATTGTGGGGGCGGTGGTGGTAATCGTGCTGGTGGTGGTGGTGGTGATGATGTTTGTGGTGATTATGGTTGAAGCGGTAATGGCTGTGGTGATGATAAATGGGCGTGGTATGAATAGTGCTTGCCGGTGGCGGTATCGACAGCGATGATGGCAGAGATAGTAGCGGTGTTGTTGCTTTGGTCCTGCTGTTGATTGAGACGTGGCAGTGGATGGTCATGGCAGTGGTATTGAAGACGCTGTTCATGGCAATAGTGACAGAACGATTATAATGCACACAATAGCATTTTATCCGCTTCATCGTCCCACTCCCAAGCGGTGATTGACTTGGTTGACTGCTGTTGGGTGGTGGTATACATATGCAAGCGTTCAGCGCGAAATCGAAAGCGGTGTAAAACATTCGGTCGACTTCCGCGCCGAGATCGAATCCCGTTTTATTCGTGCCGCATGTAACGAAACGGCCTCACTGACCCGTCCACGGAGCGTCAGTGGAATTCTTTAAATTACTCAGCGACGATCGCCAGCTTACAAAGTCTGCCTTGGCACCACGAGACTTTACAGCAGACGGTCACGACCGCCCCTACGCAGGCTGCATTTCAGACGCGTCGGCGGCATGCAATGTTCGCTTGAATGCGCGCGCGTGAGCGCGTCGCGTGAATGCTTCACACGACGCCCTCACGTGCACTTGGTCTTGGTCTTGTACACACAGTGTAATATGCGGGGGGGAGGAGCGGTGGCGCAGTGGTTACCGCATTGCGTTGTGACGCCGCAGTTTTATTGGTGACCACGTGGCAACGTGAATGGCGAGTGATTTCTAAACCGATCCTGGGCTTACCCTCTACCCGTTTACTAACTCACACTGACCAGCGGGGTGAAGTATGGTCGAGCAACTCCCATGTCTGACACGCAGTTGGGAGGGCCCTTCATCCAGCAGTGGATTGGCAAAGGGCTGAAACGTGTAAATATGACACCGCTGTGGTTGCGTCAAGATCGAACCATTTCGTTCGACAATGTGTACGCGTTATGGATACGGGAAATACTCGAAGCGGCCAAAACAACATCGGATTGCTTGGCGAAAGTCAATTTTCGATGGAATGTTGGCGAAATTGTGTGACGAAGATGCCAAAGTGATGTTTCGGCCGTTTCGACAAGATGTGAATACGATAGACCGATGGAAATGCTAACGATGTTCTTGGTTTCTTTCGGTAAAGACCGCTTGTGTTGCGATCGAAACGTCGTGAGTTTTTTTGCTTTCATTATTTTAAATGTATTATTTTTTACTTTTTATTTTTATTTGCTATCTACGTGACTTTACCGAAAGAACCAAGAATATGAATTCCTGCAGTCACGAAAGTTTGAAGTCAAAATTTAACGTACGAACCCCATAATCATTCAACCGAGGAATTTGCCTCATGTAGAGTGTGACGCTGAAGCCAATAGAGGGCTGAACCTATATATTTACAAAGACAAAGATCCCCTGTATAGCCTCAACAGACTGTTGGGGCAAGCACTGTTAGCAAGTACCTAATATATGTCAAACACATACGCACGCATGCCAATACTACATTGATACGGCCAGCGACGAGCGCGCTACATGCTAACACATACATGTCCGTCATTGCAATACGATAAGTACATGTATGACTGTTAATCTGTCATTAACATATGAGTTTGTTACTTTTTCTTAATACGTAATTGAAACAAGATGCACTTACTAATTTACGTATTATCCTTTGTTGCACAACGGTGTATACATGCGCGTATGTATTTACGTTAACAATTGCAAAGCAATAACTCACAACTCACTTATTTCCCACAGTTTACCCCACGACCCCTTAATCTCCCCCTCATAACCGCCACCGTTACTTTTCCCTCTTCATAGTCTCATTATCTGGCTTTCACTCATTAACCCGATTTATTCAATCCATTCATCATCATTAACCGTCATCAATGTCGCTTTCCACCGAATTCACGCATCATCTCAGAATCGCCCCCATCGCTTCCACTCATCTATTTCATGCACCTCGTCACCACCATTACATTCACACACATTGGCCCGTTGTTGAGTCCTTGTAAAGCGCCTTGGTTAAGGAGCTTTATAAATTCCTTTAAGTTAGGATGTGAAATACACGCGTATCTCTGTTATCCGTCATTGCAGCACGACAAATACACGTGCGACTGCCCCTCCCCCCTTGTAATTTAAACACGATGCATATTAGACAATTAATCTTTGTCCGTGGCTCTAAACTCGAAGTGTCTATGCATCGCATTCCTTCTTGCGCCACGGTGCGTGCACGCGCGGACCGCTTGATTCGTCATCACACCGCGATACGGAACGGAGGGTCTCCATCCATCACCTTCTGTCCGTCACTGCAGCACGACAACGTGGGCGCGTCTCTTGTGTCCGTCATTGCCACGCGGACTCTTGAGTCGATTGTTCCCTTCCCCCAGCCTGCCGCCCTGCCACCGCGACTCGGGGTGCTGTGCAGGACAGGGGTAGGCTGGCGTGTGTCCACGTTCCTGTGCCGCTCGCTTCGACTGTCTTCGCTGTCATCACACCGATGACGAGAAGGTTGGCGTTTCAGAACATCGCAGTGGCCCTTACAGCACATGGAGTAAACCACTGTGGTCTGCGCCCCTTCGATGAATGAATTATAACACTACTGCACGAACTCTCTCCCGCTCTGTCATGAAGCTCTCTGGTGGATAACAGAGCTCGACATTGGCACCTCCGATTATATTACCACGGTTGGCAACATACATGCGCGTGGCTCGTGAACACATTTCTGGTGCCATACGCAACACCTGAATTGCCCTTACGTCGAGCGCAGTAATACGGATGATGGTGGTGGTGATGATGATGATGCTGTTGTTATAACCATAATCAACCACATTGAATTGTGAAAGAGCATCGCGTGTGTGCAAACAAATTTGTCAAAAGCGCTTACTGCGAGAAATGTCCGTTTGAAGCGGCCGTATTAATTCGAAGCGGTCGTGTGTGCTTTGCAAACAGCGACACAGATCCATCTTAAGCAAGATGTAGTCGGGAAAGAGAGATGCTAGAATTACTGCAGAACGTTGAAGCTCAGCCAGTGACATGCGTACGACATGCGTGTACGTATGTCGTGGGTTCTATGAAGGATATTAGAGACTGCGGTTTTCTTTCGCCACTCCACTGCTGGATGAAGGCCTCCTTCTACGTCGTGTAGATCATGGAAATTATTTGATCCACGCGTCATAACGCTGGGCAGTGCGGTTTAAGTGAATGGGGGAGATCCCGCACACTAATGCTAGCCGTGGCCGGGAATCGAACTCTGGTGGCAGCCCGGGTTCATCATATATCGCAGTGCGCTAACCACCGCCTTATTGCACCACCCCGTAAGACCACAACGACATACCAATTTAACTAAAATGTGGACAATGGCTGTGTGTTTAACAGGACCCGAATCACGTATTCGCGGTTGTCCTTTTTTGTCCATCGGATGATTTTTGTTTGTTGTGAACGCACACGTGGCCCGCCGCGCTCCCATCACCATCGCACGCACATCGATGTGCTTCGCCAAGGTGTTGAGCATGGCCCTTCCTTTGTATGCAAGAACCCTCCACTCAGCCTGAACACTCGTTTTGCAGGAGGGGTCTTCCTACAATGGGATGTTTTGCCAATTGCACGAGGATGCGGTGGGGGGGGGGGTTACACGCAAAGCTCTGCACCAAAATATTCAAGAATCCATCGCCGTACTGCCATCGCGCGGCTATCTCGCAGTCCTAACCCCACGACTCCTGATATTCACAGGCGGCTTCCCATACCAACACTACCCAGGCTCAAGACTCTTTAGCTGCCAATATCTTTCAAGATCGGGCGCATTCTGGGTGATTTGGTCGTAGGTTATTCTCATCCCGGTCTCGCCCACAACAATCTTAACGGTAAATCCGCGGTGTTGTTTGTGTTTGGTATTTCCCGACAGCAGAGCACGAGGACCGTGATGATGGGAGGCGGACGATGCCACGGGGACCCTTTCACTCTGCTCCACAGCTGACCTGCCTGCGCACCGGGAAGCATTTCTTTAACGACAAATCACTGGCATCCAGGAGAAAAAACGTAGGGATAGACCAAAGCATCACGCTGAGAAGAGCAAGGAGATTCGTAGAGCGAGTGTGAGCACCTACAAGCTTGCACGCGCAGGATCGTTCACCATCATCTCCACTCTCATCGACTCCATAACCACTCTGATCGTCATAACTGTCTCTATTCTCACCACTAACATCTACATCATCATTACCATCAGTCTCACCACCACCACTTGTATCATCATCATCATCATCATCTATGTTATCATCACCACCACCAAGACAACTTTCATCCCGACACGTGCTGATGCTGTAACCATCACTACGCGCGTTGCTCTCTCAACGAGGACAACAACAAAGTCAACAAAGTCAAGGCTCGTGGCTCCACTCGCCACCCCGGTGTCACAATGTCCTGCATGGTCGGCATCCCCCAGTCGAGCGGCTTCTTTCGCCACTTCACAAAGGAGTCCGTGGCCAGGATAGAGGAGCAGATCGCCTGGGAAAAGGAGCGCAAGGCAGACAAAGATTCCACCGTGGTTATTGAGAAAGTGAAACCGCTCAATTTCTTGGAGGCGGACAGGACCATGCCATTTGTGTATGGGGAGGTTCCGCAGAAGATGATCTCGGAGCCGCTCGAGGACCTGGACCCCTACTACAGGAACAAGATGGTACGTTCCATTGCAATATGCATCGATAGCAATCGAGCACGTTTTGAGGTGCGGGTGACTGCTGTTAAAATAATAATAATACTACGAGTGATGTCAAATTCCACTGCTGAATGAAGGCCTTCCCATGTTGTGTCGACCACTGGACTTTGTTCGTCATACTTCACCACGCTGGTCGGTATGGGTTGCTGAGAGTGCTGCCAATGGCCGGTTTAGATGTCACTCGCAACTGATGTTAGCAGTGGCTCGGAATCAAAAGTGCAGTGCTATTAGCGAGCGCCTCTTAAGGGACAGTGTATGATTCATTCCAGCCACCGGCGTCGGTTTGGTTATCGACTGCTGATTGTGCATGCTGGTGCTAATTGATTATTTTTGGGTCAGATTGACCAGGCCAGATCCATGCAAGCTTCAGTGACAGTTACACATTTTCCATTACAATGATGAACATGCTTAGGTATTGAACTCATTGCCTGCCTCGGTGGAACAGAAACATTGCGTCATACTGCTGCTTGTTGAATCCAGAGGTCAATATTTTCCGGGGGTTGCTGGCAGTAACGGGAGGCATACTTGATGCAGTGTGCCGGGTGTATACATATATCCGGGTTGTTGACCCGAACAGACCTGAAAATAAGCCCTGGTTGTACGAGTTATCCCCAGTCTCTGTTGTTTACGAGCATCTGTTATGGCTGGCATGTAAATAATAGGTGCTCGCTAACAGCTAGGGACGTTTCTGTCAGCCTTCAAATACGGACTGGACCTGGGTAGATGTGTAAACATCACCGCTGGAGAGACAAAGGCGACTGGACATGATGCTGGCCATCCACCCTCTCGAAGCGGCTTTTATAGCTGCTCGCTAACAGCACTTACCCCGGCAGTCTGTTAAATACTGCAACATGGGATCTTTGTCTCTGTGCCACGTGACGTAGATTTGAATTGCAATCCTTTACATGTAAATCAGTGTACTCTGAAGTGACGTGGGGCGTGTTTACAAATCATCGGGCACGTGGAGCTTGCATCGACTTAATTTGTATTTAATTGTATTTATGTGATCGGAAACACATATGGAAAGGCGACAGGAGCGGGTCGCGAGGACTGCGGTTCGTGGAATCCCGAACTGCACACGCATAACGAGCAACAGGAAAATACCAGTTTCATGCCCTTGTGGACTCCGAGGAAGCTGAGTAGAAGCAGCAGGTCGAATTGGCGCCAGTAAAGTAAAAACAGCGGTACAAGAAGCAGCAAAAGCAGCAGCAGCAGCAGGAGAAGACAGCAGCAAGTGGAAGCAGCAGCCGAAGCGGCAGCAGTAGCAGCCTGACACCGATCGGAATCTGTGCCCTTCACCCATGTGTTGCACCTGCCCTAAGTGCTGCTTCGTAAATTAATCATTGCGCTCAGAACAAATACGTTTTTAGTTTAGTTAAGTTTAGCTTATTTTGTTGCAATCCTTCTCCCAATTACCTTCCTTTTTGAGCTGTCAGCTTTATGTTGATTTTGTGTCAAAACAAATATATTTGCGACTCTCGTAGAAAGCAGTGCATCACCCAGTGTTAGACAACGGTCCTGGAAGATGACCTCACAAAACTAGTTCTGAGGTCCCTTCAATCGCGTCTAATCCACAATAGGGGCATTGCGCATTTTCACATGCCCGACTATAGATGTGTTCAAGTCTCGTGTTAATCAAACCAATCTTTATTGTAATTAAAGCAAGAAAATGCTTGATAAAAGCTTCGATAAAATGTGTTTGGAGTATTTGGCTGCTATAAATGTACACGTGATAAGCCATTTCGTTGAGCTATCATTTGTGGCCAGGTTGCTTCTGAAAAAAGGCAATATAGCTCAGTGAGTCTTACCTGGTAAAATAAAACATAGTTTAGTTTAGGTTTAGTATTCTGATGTTTAGTTTTTCTGCAGTCATAGGTGACCGGGCTGAGACTAACAACTGGTTACACTTGATAGTCCCATTAAATCACTGCCTGCTGAAACCCCAATTTAACCCCAGGACCTCGGTATCTTTGACACGGTCATTATGAAACCCTTGAGCCACACAATTCATACTCCATTCGTGTGGTGTCACTACTTTCAATATATTCCACCAGGACTGGAGTGACTACTTGACCAATATGATCCAGCTTGTGTTTATGAAAGTAAAAGTATTCATGATTGTTATTCAACCAGGAAAGCCTGCGAGTTTCAATAATTTTTTCGTCAAGATGGTCCGGGTCTTGGGATTTTCGGCCAATTCCATTAATACGCATTTCATATGTGGAGGAAACCAGAGTTCTCAGAGAAAACCTGAAGTAGAAAGAGGTAACACTCAATGCTCTGCAAAGATAGAATGCACAGAGACACCCAATATATTCAATGTATATGGACTGAGCTCATTGCTGATCTGTCATCTCCTAGCCTAACCCAAGCATACAACACCATGTAATTCAAGTTAATCTCCAATTCATGTCGCAAGACGGCTGAGTCGTGCTGCGCTGATGAGATCTGAAGATTCAGGGTGGATATTAAGGGCGATTTTTTTCTTAGTGGTCATCATCAATTATCTACCCACTGCTGGATTAAGTCCTCCTGAAACCATCACTTTCGCACGGTCCTGTGATGCAACAATCCATTTAGCGCCCAGCACATAATCTGATTTCACCGCTCCATCTACTTTAAGCGAAAACAATTTGCCCATAATGAACGAAACGATGAAGTTTGGCGAGATACGCTGTATGCACACACAGTAAGATGGCGGGACAAGTAACTAAAGTTTTCAGCCTCGTTACGGTATAATTCTACGTATCTCAAGAAAGTAGTTCACCGTCGGTCACTCAGAAATCACATTATGACGGGTGCGTTCCGCGTTATAACGGGCGCGTTCTACAATGTGAAAAAGTGTTCCCTCGTGTAAGAACCGCGTTATGGCAAAAAAAAAACGTGCTGTGGGGACACGCGTTAAGCGAGAACTTACCTAATGTTGGGCAGGTGTAAGGGGTTTAATAATAACAATACAGACAATTCTTGTCACAGGTGACGGCAGTGACGCATTGTTCTGGGCGTCGTAAGGCGAACGCACGTGGCACTCGCGCGCCTCAGGGCGGTCTCGGTAAACAAGCCCATGGCTCGTGGCTACGAAACACAATGGGGAGCCAACATAAAGGACACGTGGTACAAATAGCAGAAGCAGCAGCCACAGCAGCGGCAGTGTCTCAAATGCCAGACGTGGCTCACACATTGAGGCGTGCATGCTTTCCAGTTTCACAAACAAAAAACGCGTGCGGTGATACGTGGTTTATTTGTACTTAAAAGTGGAGAACGTCAGTACACGGGAAACGTAAATAAAAGAAAATAATAAACAGTGAGTTTGAGTTGCAGGTCAGTTTTAAACTCAAGGTCAAAAGGTCATCGCTGTCAGTGCCGTTGATGTCACTATTCCTTGCCATCGCCCCCTTCCTTCTCCCAGGTCACACAATTGTTGCAAAGGTGACACCCGACCTCCAAGGTCTGCTCTTAGGGTATTATAATCATCATCGTCACCACCACCACAATCTGGATTTTTGTTCTTCTCCGTGCTATGTAGGTGGCACATCAGTCAAGGACCACTCCTAAAGTCCAATCATTGCCACCGTCTGGCTTTAAGTCTTCATATTTAACAGTCGACACGTTCTTAGATGGATACTGTAAGTTTTATCACAACCACCACCGGGTAATGAATGCATGTCTCGATAACCTGCCCACCTCCATCTTACTCGTGTCCTTCCCATTGCAGCACAATCTGATCTACCTGTTCACACCTATAGCATTCACTTGATAGTCCGCATCCCGTATTTCGAGGTATTTGTTTAATATCGTGTCGATTGTAGTGGCGTAACGTGCTTGCTGTGGGCCCAGGTGTGAAATTAATTAAACGGGGCCCCCTCCTCAATTAACTCCCTCTTCGTAACCCGGCGCCTAGGCCCCTCCAGACCATGGACCCCCGTGCAGTTGCACCGCCTGCACACTTGAGAGCTGCCCCCTCCCTACCAATGGAGTCGTAGGACCTTCACGAACGTTAATCAACTTTTTGCATGGAGGGCACGGCACGTTGCGAGGGGGCCTTAAATTCACATGATTGGGAACGTCGCATTTGAGATATTCAATTTTATTGATAACGAGACACCAGTAGTGGATTATTAAAGCTTCATCTTAAACTGGGGCTTCATTGCCTGGTGAATAGCACTCCCTGGTTCTGTTTACCCAAAGTCTGTTTGGCCCCAGGACTATGCGCACGTGCGTGCCAGGCTTGAATGTCTCATGCGACACTGAACATACATGAGAAGCTCTCCAGCCGCTCAGCATGTCAGTGAGACCCATGTATCTATAACATGGATGGGAGTATGCTACGTCATATGTTGTTATTTTCTTCGTGGGGTTTGCTATCAAATGGAGCAATTCATTTGGATTGAGAGTAATGCAAAGAGTGACGGGAACACAGCCCAGAAAAGGCGATCGTTGTTGATCGGACACGTGCTCAAGAGTTTTCAGAGGTGAACGCTTGTTGATGGAGACTGGAAGGACGGATGTTGGGAAAGAGACCATGATGCAAACAAACAAAAATGCTGCTTTATGAAGGGGCCCGGGTGGGGTCAGGAGACAAGTGACAGGATGGGAGGGGGATGTAAAGATGAGAGGATGGGAGACGTTTCACCCAGGGACCTGCCCAAGAGAGAGAGAGAGAGAGATGTTGCATAACATGAAGATTGAACAACCTTTATGTCCATCAGCCAAATTCTGAAGCAGAATTTGGCTGATGGACATAAATTGGCTAATGCAGGCAAACCTTACCTGGTTTCATCAGCAGCGCGTGGTTGTAAGACATTTGACCATAAGGCCCTTTGGTTCATGTGCCGAAATAATATTTTTATTTTTTTATTTTGGTGATGAAACAAATCCTGCTGTGTTTACAATGTCGTTACCCATAGGCTATCAAGATAGTGATTTTGATTATATAGTTTACAGCCTATTGCAGGATAAAGGCCTCCTCACAGCACATCTGGGTCATGGGGGGTTATTTGACCATACTTCACCATGCGTAAGCGTATTAGGCTGCTATAAATGTGTCCGCGACAAGCCACTTGGTTGAAGCTGTCATTTGTGGCCAGGTCGCTTCTGAAAAAGAGCTACATAGCTCAATGGGCCTTACCTGGTAAAATAAAATAGATCAGCATCACCGGATAGTGTGATCAATTCCCTGAACTGGTTTGGCCAGAACACAGCACTGGTTCGACGACATCATCATCAATCACCATGATAACCACACGTTGCCTTTGTGTTCCATTACCAATTAGTCAACCTGCATAGATCACCCGAGACTTGAAACCCCACGGCAGAGTTGTCACGCCGCCCTCCCCCACCCACCCAAAACTGCTGTCACGCACCACGACCATCATCTGCGTAACAAATCAAATACAAAACGTCTCCTTCATATGCCCATCTCTCCACGTAAAACAAACGTAATTAAATGCATATGTAAAAGCAGGTTTGTTTTGCATGTTTTAACACACGCATGTGTGGTTAAGACAGACTTGGTGCCTTGCGATAGGTGTCGATTTGGTATTTGAACAATATTGCCGGAATGGGTAAAGCCGGTTCCCGTTTTCATCGTCTTGGTACTGGCAAAAAGGAACCCATAGCTGATAATAGGTTTGTCCCCTTTTTTCTGGCAACAAAACAGGTGTTAAGATGTTAAAACACCAAACTGAAACCTGTTACAAGGAATCATGTTTCAAGGACAATGCATATATTATCAGAGTATGTTTTTCGTTTGCATTCAGACCACAAGCATTGTGGTTAATGCAGACATGATTCCTTGTAAAAGGTTTCAGTTTTGTGTTTTAACATCTTAACACCTGTTTTGTTGCCAGAATAAAAGGGAAAAACATATTATCATATTTTGGTACTGGCAAAGGAGGTCCCATGAAGTGGAACCCATAGATGTTTTTTTTTAACACAAACTATCCACCGCACGGCTTTCTGGAAGTGCATGTCATCGACATTTTTGCAATAAAAGCAAAACTCTGGATAAGATTCAACACACAGTGTCTCATAAGCAGTTCAGGACAGGCTTCCTTGAATCAATGCTGGCCAACTGCTGATATTAAAGGAAAGGAAACTCTCTCTACGTTATGGGGTCCTAGTTCAACGCAGAATGATAGTGTCATACATAACTCGAAATTATCGTTAGCGTCATTGTGGAAAATGTAAATAACATTAACAGGCAGAAAATGTCTCTTTGAACTGTGTGGATAGACGTCACCACGTGATTGCAGGAGCACCTATGTCATCCAACAACTGCAACCGGTTACGTGAGTGTGCCGCACGGTCTTGTAGGATACACTGGCTATCCACTGGCTATCCAGTGTATCCAATGACAGTATCAAGTTTATTATTAACTCATGCAAATACAACACATTTTACCCGTTCTCTATCCACCAATGGACGGGCACATGACATTTCACCAATCCTGTTTTTATCACTGGTAATCTACAAATTGTGGTTGAAATCGGAGCACCACACTGTTGGACGTTCCTTGTGAAAGCCCTGGCATAGCTGAGATCCTGGGATTTAATCTGAGTAATTAAACCTGGTTCATAAGTGCAGCGAGTTGATCTTCTCAGCCCGATCATCAATGGCTGCACAAAAAAGTTACGAAAACCGAATTCTATTAAATTTGGACGTTCATTTGATTCAGAATATGTCTGACTATGAAGATTACACAAATGTTGGCTCATCATATGAAGGACACCTTTATAGCAGAACACGTGAGAAGGCAATTAAATACTGCAAGGCAATTACATACATTTAACGCTGTTCCATATGTTTAAAATATATTTTACTCAAACATCCACATAGACGATTAAGAGGTTTCAGTCAATCGGCCTATAGGCTTCTCAGACCAACGATATCCAGCAGCATTTGTTTAAACAAAGAAACAAACGCTTGCCTGGGTTTTCACCTTTTTTGGTTCTCATCAGCAGAGTGAAGCTTGCTCATCAAATCCTGCTGGATTGCCAGATGTTCCGTGTAAACCGATGAACGCTATAGACTTGCCATGCTCAGAGTCGTGGGATGCTTTGGTTATTGATATGATTAATCACCGCTAATTGTTGTTAACGTCTGATCCATGCTGTGGAGCGCAGCTGTGCCTAATGTCACTGTATCTGCTTCTCTTGCAGACGTTTTTGGTTCTCAACAAGGGCAAGACCATCTTCAGGTTTAATGCCTGCAAGGCGCTTTGTCTCTTCACAGTGTTCAACCCCATTAGGAGAATATCTATCAAGATCCTCACTCACTCATATCCTCTTTGCTGAAGGCCGACGATCGTTATTGCATTTGCAAAGACGCTTTGTGTGTGTGGATCGCCGTGCCACGCATTCGTTTGACACCTACCCGTTTCTTCTCACAGGTGAAACATATAACAACACACGTACGTGTTACTGTTTTCTGACCCAGGATGTTTTTTTCCACCCAAAATTGTACGTCCAAGAAATGTCTGTGTAAGAGTAATTTGCTTAGGGATCGTTATTGATATGGAACATTTTACAGGGATTGCGGTTTTGCGCCTTCATCCAGCAGTAGATAGATCCAGTGCTGGCGAGGTCTTCATCGAGCAATGCGTAGGCAAGATAACGGCTGCTGGTGATGAGCAGTTCGTTTTTGACAATACACTCGCATACCCTGTTGGTTATGTGTAGCATCGCTGGGTTAAGAGACATCACAACCAATCCTCTACCAGAACTACAGCCATCGGGAGTAACGTTAAAATGACAAGTTAAATTAACTGGGAGAAAATACGCATAAATCGGCCACAAGCAATCTGTGTGTAGAAGAAAAAAAACCACCGTAATATTTAAACGTAATATTCAAACTGCAAACTATCACTGGTCTGCCAAGCACCCACATGTGCCATGCATCCGGTCACAAGTTCCAACACCAATTGCACACGGCGTGTGACTTATTTGCCCTATTTGCACGAAGCTCAAATGTCATTGCTCTTGCGCGGCCTGCGTTGTCCATTGCAGTCGCCTGTTATACACAGCGTGGTGCTGCTGTGGGCCGTTTTGGTTCGAGGCAAACAGATGTCGTGTGCCGTGTTTGTTGTGTGAAAAGACCACCACCGCCCTCCATCCTTAGCTCCGTCCATACATTATTCACCATCCTCATCATGGCGACCATTTTGACCAACTGTGTCTTCATGGCTATCAATACAGAGCTGAAGGTTGTGGAGTAAGTAAGTGTGTGGTTGTGTGCAGGTGGATCTGCATGCGTGTGTGATTGTTGTGTATGAGTGTGTCCTGGTGCAGAATTGCATACCCATCAATCCCTTATCAGTGCCTACTTTATTACAAACCCCGTTCCTTTATAAATCTCAACGTTCATCCTACAAAATCCCATCATAATGGAGAAACACAAACAAATACTTACTTTTTTGCTCAACTTCCCTGTACAAGAATACGAGTGAACCGTATGGGTTGACAGGTATGGAATTGCGTGTGAACCCATAACACCCAGTTCTGTCCCGTGACCTCCTGCCAGCGAGCCTTTGCCCTCAAGGTGCACTTAGCCTGGCACTAGCGCCGTGGTGTCGTCACCGCCACTTAGCGGCGAATGGCGGCCGTCGCTGTTGTGTTAGTGCACGATTCTGTGTGTACCATTGTGTTGTTGTTGTGTTGTTGTTGTGTTGTTGTTGTGCGTGTTATCGAGTGCGTGATTTCTGGTGATTGACGTGCGTTGGTGTGCAAGTGGTGCTAGGGAGCGGTGGTGCAGCGGTTAGCGCGCTGCGAACCCGGTTACCCGAGTTCGATTCTCGCTCACGGCCAACACCAGTGACGATTATCTGAACCGGTCCTGGGCCTCCCCTAGGTCGACTCAGCCTCAAATGAGTACCTTGTGCGGTGTGTAAACATTGCCACTAGGGAGACAAAGGCGGCCGGGCGTGGTGCTGGCCACCCAGCCCCTCGTGTGCCGTGCCGGCCTTCATAGGTGCTCGCTAACAGCACTTGCCCCTACAGTCTGTTAATGGGGATCGTTGTCTTTGAGTGGTGTTGGTCACCCACCCACCCGCTGGAACACGAACGGTTGTTAAAGGCTCCATTGGGAATCCCCCTGTGTCTTGGTTTCTCGAAGCGTGTATGCGATTGCGTGTTTTTGTGCGTCTGATTGCGTGGATTAAGTGACGTGTAAACACGCGTCTCTCCCTGTTGTCGGTGGTTCCCAGTTGATCCTCCACTTTTTTTGTACAGCCTTTTAAAGATGCAGCTATACTCAGATGTGATATATATATACATATACACACAGTTGATCATCGATTATTCGGCTGTCCCGGACCGATCCGGCGAAACCGGCAAAAACGCTCCAAAGGCTGTTTACCAGTCCGGCAATTGGCACCGTGTAGCGTGACAAAACAAAGTATATGTGTCAACTATTACATACGAAAATACTGCACGTGTATCCAGTGCGATCCGGCGAAAAGTGCGTGCAAGCACCGGTCTAAAGGCTGCATCAGTCCGGCGATCGTCAAATACAAGCGATTGGAACAAGAGAGTTGTAAGTAGTGCTAGGTAGATCACCCCATGGTGCAGAGTCTTCGAGATTGGAGTGTGTAAGCACGGGACAAGTGAACCCAGTGAAATGTTGTCAGTGTTGTTTTGTCTATTTGTACGTTTATTTATGCCAATTAGCACAGTGAACACGTGAAAAACAGTAAAAAAAACATGTACACAACACCCGAAGACGTAATCTCATGTACATTTTTTGCAAAAATAACCTTTTGAATAATTATAGGATTATCCGACGTTTTTTTTTTTTAATCCGGAGCTCTGTCACCCCCCGAAATATACGATGATCTACAGTACAGTACTGCGATTTTTCATCCGTGGACCACGGCGAATGTATATATATAACAACAAAACTGTGCAAATGCAACACACTCTTACCCACCCGACGCTGTGGAAAAAAGTCCCAGTCACACAGATCGACTCCGGGTGATGCACCTCCGATGAGCACGGTTGGCTACGCGGGGTGCGAAAGAAATTCAACCATACGTAGCACACGTGCAGACGAGGCTCAGGATGAACAGGTGCCGCTACGGTGTATCACCGCAGGCTGCAGAGCGCCATACAGACACATGTAGTGGAGAGGAGCGTACAGCACTCTCAAGACATCTGGCCAGCGCAGAAGAGTCTAACCAAACGTTATTTATTTATTTTACCATGTAAGGCCCACTGAGCTAAATAGCCCTTTTTCAGAAGCGACCTCGCCACAAATGATAGCTCAAGGAAGTGGCTTATCATGTGGAAATTTACAGCAGACAAATCCTCGAAATACATGTTTCTAAATGTGGAGGGAAAGACCGGAGGACCTGGAAAAAAATCTCCACAACCACGGTGAGAACATGCAAACTCAATTTATTCAGGCGTCAAGGTCGGGATCGAACCCACGACCTCCCGTATACCAGGCAAGGTAGTTAACATCTCCTAGCCACCGTGGCGCCCCCAAAGTACATTCTGGGGATGCTCTCCAGAGCTCTCTCCAGCGGAGGCCCTTCTGCCAGCAGTGTCGTGGGCAAGCAATCGCAGGGCTGCACCTTTACCTGTTACCGTTATCCATGCGGGAGAGCACGTGTGGGGTCAGGTTCAGGGCTAAGGTGACGTGTGACAGGAAAGCTTGCCCCGTGACCTGAAGTGTTGACCGTGACCTCGAAGCGACGGGGAAGCGTGTGTCCGTGACGCATGCTGTGGGACGGTGCAGGTACGTGTTCACCGCCATCTACATGTTCGAGGCTCTGGTCAAGATTCTGGCTCGAGGCTTCTTCTTCGGGGCCTTCACCTACCTGAGGGACCCGTGGAACTGGCTGGACTTGGCCGTGCTTGTCATCGCGTGAGTGGTCACGGCCTGCATTGCCCATCTCAAAGTTTTACCTTGGGTTTTTTTGTAGGATTTTGTTTGTCCGTTTCCCCAGTTCTGTCTCAATTCTGCTTTCGATGTCGTGAAACTAAAGTGTCCATTCGGGAGTCTCGCGTACAAATGCATCGTGTTAGGTAACTTCTCGCGGGAGCAGATGTCGCAGGACTACTTACGAGATTCGTCTAGTCACCTTTTCATCCGACTCCTCGGGGTCCCATGTTCCCACATGCCTTGCTACAAACACGTGTCACGTGGCAGTCCAACCGATTAGAAAAAAAGTATGTATTTATTTTAGAGATGGAATTTATCCAAAATGAAATGGAAAATCAAGGTAATAAATTTAGTATGGTTACATTTAACATAACCGGCTAGGCGATTCAGCTGTAGAGCGAGTTCAAATTCTGGTTGGGTGATGACTCAGCCCATTATCCATCTGGGGTCGACAGAATGAGTAACACTTTGTGGGGATGCTGGTTGAGCTATGGAGATGAAGCGTGATTTCCGCCACTGGTTCAGGGTTGTAAACGGGAGATAAGAACCACGTCAATGTTCATTTGAGCGCGGGACATGACTTTGCATTTTTGACATTGACTTGCTTACCTTTCCTATACTTTGCATTGTGTGTTGTTTGTAACGTTCTGACCCGCCCCAACTGGACACCTGTGAAAAAAAAACTTTATAGCTCATCGGATTTCTCCAATATAAATATATATGATCAATCTGACTTCAGCCCCATGCCCACACTCTCTCGCCCTCTTCTTGCCTCCAACTTTCTGAGTCACTTAAACACCCCGCCACCCCGCGTCCGTTGTTGAGATGGTAAGTTTGCCCGTGATCCCCCGTGTCATAGTAAACCTGAATTTGAGTTTTGCCTCGAGTGTTTCCCTTCCTGCGGAGTGAGAGAAAGAGAGTGCCTAAGGCCAAGTCCAGGATAGAGTTACTTTGCTCCGTTCGTGCACTGGAAAAAAAAGTAACCACGTGCGTTTCAATTGAGTGAGTTTCGAGTGACAAAATTGGACACCGTTTCAAAATATCACGATGGACTGTGACAAATGCTTGTATTTTAAGTCTCCTGACTCCCGTCCCCCCACCCCACTCCGTAATGCCTCTTCAGATGTTTTACCAGCATACCAGGTTTCGCAAATCTGTCAGCACTGCGGATGTTCCGAGTGATGAGGGCGTTGAAAACCATTTCCGTGGTTCCAGGTGTGTGTGATCCCTCCACATCACACATTTTCGGCTCGGGCAAGAATCAGACGCAAATACACATATCTCCCATAGAGCCTCCCCAATGTCGACTCAGCCTTGAAATGGGTACCTGGTGTGATGTGTAAATGTCAAGATCGGGGACACAAAGGCGGCCGGGCGTGATACTGGCCACACCACCCCCTCGTGTGCCGTAGCAGCCTTTTTGTAGGTGCTTACTAACATAACTTGCCCCAAGAGGCTATGAAATGCTATACGGGGATCTTTGTCTGTAAGACGGGCTGCACTTTTGTAATTGTATATATATACATGCATTTTACACCATTGGATGAGAAGACATGGGTCGACTGTTCAAACCGCAGCGCGTTCGGATGACCCCCGCTTAGCGAGAGAGTGACCTCCGTGCCGTTGGTAACGCAGGCTTGAAGACGATCGTCCGAGCGCTCATCCAGTCGGTGAAGAAGCTCTCAGACGTCACCATCCTCACCTTGTTCTGCCTCAGCATCTTCGCGCTGATCGCCCTACAGCTATTCAAGGGCAATCTGAAGAACAAGTGCGTTCGCTGGCCAATTCCGGGCAACTCCAATTTCATTAACATCTCACAGTACCTGGAGGACAAAGGTAGGAGGACGTTGCTTCTCATTTGTCGATTTACCCAAATGTCTTTATTTGAGTGGCTGGTTTGGTTGGTTGCACGACGGGCAGGGATGGGAGGGGATGTGTTGAGTTGTTGCCACGACTCGATGCCATGAATTGTCAAGATTATTCGGGCCGTAATTAGATTTACGAATGGATTATTTCGTGCTTGTATGATTTGTACAGTTTCATTTGCATGATGTATTTAGTGTGCTCTCGGTCGCGCTCCATTAACCCTCAAGGTAACTTTGGCATATAACTTGTATTCATTGTAATTATTCGACTCTGAGGCGCATGATTCGATGCGTTTATTGTGAGCGTAAGTTTCAATGAATTGGAGTCACGATGGAATCCATGAATTGATTATTATTATTTTTTTATCTCGCGGGCATTGCCTTTCTTGTTGTCTCATTTGGTCCATCATCCTAAAGGTGACGTTTGTATGCGTTTTGCGTGTCTAGTTTCCATTAACAAATAACCTACAACATTAATGCAAATCAGAAATAATGTATTCCTACAGACACTATTAAATGCGCTTATCATAAGCTGAAGAATGCACTTTAGTTAATTGAATCGGTCAATAGTTATATTCTGTAAGTATACGTGAGTGATCAGTGTGGATCCTGCCAAGTCAGTTGAGTCAAAGTTTTGATTCCTGCAGACACCCAGTGTATTGTCATTAAGTTGGTTGTGGAATGATTACCTGGATTGCTTAATGTGGCAGAGTGCATGTTAAAGACTCTGTGATTACATCGTTTAAGAGAGTCACACATTTTGTGCTTGTTTAACGGCGAAAATGACAAATGTATATTTCACAATTTTATAGTGATTCATTTGTAGCAATGTGTCGGTTCACTGCTGGATGAAGGCCTCCCCACGCCGTGTCAGTCACAACAAGTGGTTTGATTCGACTTTTCCACGCCGATCGGTGTGGGTTGTTGCTGGAGGGGCCTAGGACTGGTTCAGTTATCACTCGCCAATGATGACGATCGAACTCAGTGCGTTAACCGCCGCACCACCGCTCCACAATTATACAAACTGAAAATAATAACTCTCTCTGGGTAATTACAGTTGTCATTTTCAAACAATACACGCTAAACCTCACCAGATTCACACATGCCACTCGCCCACTCGGAAACCCTGCAAGCGCTGCCACTTTCGAGCCGTCCCACTAACAAGACTCGTTACGATATCAAAGAGGTGCTTGATATTTTCTTTTCGGAACTAAGTGGCCCGTGAGCAGAGCTGGGCAAATCGGATGTGGCAGCAACCAACCGTTGGTGGCAATCCGCATTTAACAGGGGCAGCTGCTGCCCATCGTTAAAGTGTTACAGCTCCTGCTTTCATGAAAGTTTTATCGTCAATATTCCAGGAAAGCGCAAACGCAGCTGTAATGTGACGTGGCTCGGAAACCGAACACTACAAACAGGATTCTCATTCCCCTGCGTCAGCGCACGGTTGAGCTAGTCTATGCCGGTCGTGAAGGAAACAATAGCACTGCATTTAATTACATTCTACAAAGCGATTACGCAATAATATAGCTTGCCACGGTGTCTAAACTTTATGTGAAGAAGAGTTAGTTTGTTTGGAGTTCTGTTTCGTAATTTTTTTACGGAGCTGATCAGCTGCTGCTTATTGCCATGCCTGGGACATGTCATCTGTCTGTCTGGTAGTACACTACAAGTCTTCACGAAAATTACAAAACTCTTAAACCAGTTGATATGAAACTTACACACGGCTCACGAATCCCATTGCCCGTAAGAACATACTTTTTAAGCATGATTGCCAGTTAAATGCTGGGCTTCTCAGCTAAATACTGTACTTTCAAAAAGCCAATAGCTGAAATGAAATGGTCCAACTTTCCTGCACTTGGTTGAATTATTAAAATATTGTGCAATCTTCCCACGTAATATTAAGATTTTAAAAACACCTTAGTTCCTTTTGTATTTCAACACAGTTGCACTCGACTGAGCCAGTTGCACAACTATTTCGCTAGCTGTGCAATATTCCTGAAGGATCCTGTCCTCGTCCTCTGCTATATTGATATTTTTGTCTTGTGTTACTGTTGCTGCAGTGCTAACACGCACCACGGACCTCCCTTGTAAAATAATCAGGCAATTGGCTCAATGGGGATCATCCGCGTAACAAATCAAATAAACTTAACTAAACTGATGATCCATGAAACTGAATCACGAGTGTCTAATAGAGTATAGGCTGGGTCCGCCTGTATTCTATTCTAAGAGGGATAAGGTAAGACAAGTGTTACAAAAACGTTTCCAATTTCTTACTGCTGACTTTGGTCGTGACTCAATAAAATAATCAGCATGTGTGTTTTATGTCATTCTGCCTTGCTGTAGCAAAGCCAGTGATATAATGTGAAACTTTACCTGGAAAAGTTTCAGTATCTCTCAACCCTTCTTATTTTATTTCCACAGATAATTACTACTTCCACAAGAATGTGCCACTACTCTGTTCAAACTCATCGGAAAATAAGTACGAACCTCCATCACTCCTCGCATGCTATTCATCCTATGTGCATGCTGCATGCTGTGTGTAATTAATAATGGTGGATTTCAAATTGAAGTGGCTTTAATTTTCCAGCGCAATGCTTTCTATTGTATTTCCTCCGAATATCCTCTTGCGAAATGTTGAAAATAGCCGAGCCAGCACCGTTTCAGCCGCTGGCACAAAAATAGAAAACAATATAGGAACGCCGATGGACACAAAAAAACAATGTTGCCATTGTATTGGCCAAGAGGTCTTTATCATCGCGATGGAAGTATCGTTTTCATGGGAATGTAGTAGTGAATTTGGCGATGGTGCGATATGCCATTGTATTGGCCAAGAGGTCTTTATCATCGCGATGGCAGTATCGTTTTCACGGGAATGTAGTAATGAATTTGGTGATGGTGCGAGATGCCATTGTATTGGCCAAGAGGTCTTTATCATCGCGATGGAAGTATAGTTTTCACGGGAATGTAGTAGTGCATTTGGCGATGGTGCGAGTTGCCTCAGAAGCACACCCGATCTCACGTGCAAGCCTGTGGTGGGCTGGCCTTGTGCACGTTGGCACAGCTATACCTGTGCTACCACATCACCTGCAAACGTGGCATGTGCCTGTAAACTAATCATATTAACATTTTAAGGTATTCGTCAATCCACTGCTGGATGAATGAAGTATGGTCAAGCCCCAATGCCGTGTCCTTCACCCGGTTTGTTTGACCATACGTCACCATGCTGGTCAGTGTGGGTTAATGAAATGGCATTAGGGAGGTGGGGGTGCCAGGACCCGTTAAGGTATCACTTGCCACCGATGTTTTCCATGGCTGGGAATAGAACTAAGGACTCATCCCATTTATACAGGGCCAGGTTCACATGTTCAAGGAAATGGCCTGAAACCGATTGCCGTGGTGATTTTCCTTATTGTCGCTGCTGGAAATTTGCAAAAAATGTGACGAAAAGGACCATATTCCAACAATGAATATGGTCCTTCAGGTGATTATCATTCAATCGTTTGGATCTCTTTCTTCGCTGATGTGGCTGAGTTTAATTGTTTCATGAACGTCACTAGGTGGCTCAGAGTGCTGAGCTGGCACGGCTGAGAACCTGAGTTCGAATCCATATTTCAGACACCTGTGATTATTAACATCAATTACTGCACAAAAAGAAACCCAACACAATACAATTGTTTAATATATATTTTATTATTTAATTGTTTCCCTTCAACGTGACTTTACCGAAAGAGCTAAGAATATGAATTACTGCAGTCACGAAAGCTTTAAAGAAAAAAAAATACAATACAATTTGTTTTTTGCACTTAATTTGGTTAAATTCCAGAAAGTGCTGCCTGCTGCTTACTATGTGGACCAGAGGTTACTCAATGAGATCTCAGAGGTATCTCTATGATATCCACTTTCGTGGACCGTTTTCAAAGATGAAATGCTGCACTTCCAGAGATCCGAACGACACGACATTGATAGCACTATTGGGATACGAACAAAGTTCTACACAGAACCAAACAATTGGGTCTTGACCGCTTTGATTTACTCTGCTGTTTGTGCTTCAGTACTTGCCCTGATGGGTTCATCTGCTTCAAGGCCGGGAAAAACCCAAACTACGGCTACACCAACTACGACAATTTCGGCTGGGCTTTCCTCTCCTTGTTCCGGCTCATGACGCAGGACTACTGGGAGAACCTCTATCAGCTGGTGAGCTCTGCTCGGGCCCAGCGTGGACACAACCGACACAGGAAGGGGCACTAAATGAAACTATGAAACGAACCAATTTTTGTTTTATTTTACCAGGTAAAGGCCCACTGAGCTATATAGCTAATTTTGCAGAAGCGACCTGGCCACTAATGATAGCTCAACGAAGCGGCTTATCAAGTGGACATTTATATAGTCAAACAATCTAAACGTATTTTTCTAAATGTGGAGGGAAACACCGGAGGGCCTGGAGAAAATCCAATCGACCACGGGGAGAACATGCAAACCCCAAATATACAGGCATCAGGGTCAGGATCGAACCCACGCCCTCCTGTATATCAGGCGAGGTAATTAACATCTCGCCACTGTGGCGTAAACTAATGGGGCACCTCTTAATATTTGGGGGGAGGTGGGGGGGGTGGAGGCTCCCATATTCACACATTCACAACCTCAGTGTAAACCTCTGCGAGTGGCAAAACAAAGTAATGTGGTGTGGTGGTGGCATTGGCGATGACCCCTAGAACTTGAGTGGCTCCTCAGAGGCTCGAGTGCCTTCTGGTGGGAGAGTTGAGGGGTGGGCGGACATGGGGGTAGGGGGGACCATGGCACACATCGAGACACGACCGTTCATTAGGAGGAAATAGACTCACTGGGGATATACCTGCTTTTTCCAGCACAGGCCGTGTTGTAGTCGTCATTCACTCGCTAGTTTGTAGACTCACGCTCTCCTGTAGTTGTGTATGTGCACATGCACACGTATAATATCAAGGAACACAGATACGACAGTGGTGCCTCGAGGGTGCTTATGGTTAGCGATATCGCATGAAAGTGACTGTCAGATTCAGACACATTTAATATTCTTAGGATTCTGTGTATTATTGTCTCAGGCTCACAAGGGCCAGACAGATGCACTTTCATGATGATTATTATTAAGGTTATTGTTTTATTGTTTGAGGCTCAAATAGTCAGACTAAGGCATCTTTATGATCTCTATAGGTCAATATTATTTCCCTAAGTTTACAAAACCGTTACTAGGAGTAGCATCTGTGGCAAACCACCAGGTACATATACACACACACAGACACCTATCCTCACTGGAGAGCATGCATGCTGTGCATAAATAAGTGGTGAATGGCGGCCGTCATTGTTGGTGTTCTGTCTGTACATCTTGCCCACTGCTCAGACCCTGCGGGCGTCCGGTAAGGTGTACATGATATTCTTCGTGATGGTCATCTTCCTGGGCTCCTTCTACCTCATTAACCTCATCCTGGCCGTGGTAGCCAAGTCTTACGAAGAGCAGAACCAGGCCACGCAGCAGGAAGCTGAGCGCAAGAAGGACGAGCTTCAGGAGATGCTGGAGCAGCTGAAGATCCAGAAGGAGGATCAGGTCGCCATGGTCTGTGTATGCGTGCATGTGGACACACACGCATGCACGCGCACATACGTGCACGCACGAACTCACACATGCAAAATATAAGGATCCCCTCGTGTGGCCAACAAGAATGTTGGGGCAAGTGCTGTTAGCGAGCACCGAATGAAGACCGGAAATTTTCACGAGTCGGTGGTGTGCTCAGCACTACACCTGGACGCTTCTATCTCCCCAGTGGTGGTGTTTACACACCGAATTAGGTATTAATTTAAGGCTGAGTTGACTTAGGGGGAGGGCCAGTACTGTTTCAGATATTCTCCACTGACTTCATCTGTGGAATTTAATGCAGGTCTCGGAGTTGGTATCGCAGTGCAACAACCACTTAATCACCACTCCTCGTACACGCACGCACATGCCATGCTTTCGCAAAAACACGCGCCCCTTGGCACGTTCATAATGCCCTGTTAAGGAGTCAACCGTATCCACGTGGTAATCTGACTAATTAATAGCAACATGAAGTGAAACAGGGGGGGGGGAGGGGGGGCGATGCCCATGGGGTCAATTTGGCTGCACGTGGCAAAACCAGCCTGGAAATTGAGCGCTGAAATTACTTATACCTCATCCTATCCGAGGCCCGACGGCAATAGCATTGTTTGCAGGCTTGTTTTTCTTTGATGTTATACTTTGTGTATTTTGTATGGTACGTGTATAGAAAGAATTTGGCACGCCTTGCCCATGATCATTCATCGCTTTCTGCCTGCTCAAGTGGTACTCATCTGCTTAGAATCATGTCCACGTATGCAGTGTTTTCATCATCAGATCAAGATAACTTTAGGAATGTTTTTCTGCTCGGTGTAATTGGTCTGAGGCTCAGAGGCAGACGAAGGCTCCTTTCTAAGAATAATGAAGCACCACGTGATGCTTTTGTGCTGTCTCCACGTTGCATAGACATGTCACGTGACAAGCGATCCCAGTTTACGACTGTCAAGTAACTATTGGAGCGTTGGTTTGTGCATTCCAGAATTAATTTGTGATTGACAGTTCAAATAAGCTGTTATATAATTTGTATTTTGTTAAAGTGACTGTCTACCTTGTTTTCATGTGATAAAAAAAACAAGTTTACGTAACATTAATTATTAATCACAAAGAAATATAATTACAAGATGTAAATAGCTTAGAATGTGGTCTTCACGGATAAAAATAAAACAGCCTGGTGTTTGAAAAGCACACGTGTGCTTGCACAGCCGCTTGAAATCCAAGCGTGGTTGTCCAGGTGGGGCATGCATGTCATGAAGACGCCCGGCATCAGCAGTGTGTGGCGCAAGCTTCACAGAAGAAACTGCTCACCGCGCAGCGCAAGCGAGACCACTGCGCTCGGAATGCACCGTTAAGAGCACAATTAGTCGACACGCAGTCCCGAGAGTTATTGTCGCTCAAATCCCTCACCGCTCCCGCGCACGGGCGGTCACGACGCCGTAGCACCTTGGCGTCACCGCTTATCGCTCCCCCGCGCGCATCGGCAGGCGACCGGCCAATCACGGAGGCCCAGCTGCTACCGGAGCCGGATGGCCTCGGAACAATCGCACGGGAGCGACGCGGGGAGCGTGACGGGGGTGCTGGCGGTGCCGCGGGGTTTGGAGCGCCGTGACACTCTCCTGCCGGAGGCCTCCGAGAACGGCAACGATCTGAGCCAGCAGCCGAGCCGCAAGGTGTACGTCATGCACCCCGACGACCGGCAAGAGTGCGACAACGCCGGCGTGAGTGAACGCGCGCACGCCTGCTGAGGGATGGCGATGATAGTGGTGGTGGTGATGGTGGCAGCAGTGGCAATGGTGCATTTGGTTGATGGTGATTTAGAAAGCTGTACTGCTCTGTTGACCCAGTCACCACCCAGCACTATGTGAAATATTGGTTGTTGTCATAGTGGTGACGGTAGTGGTGATGATGGTGATGGTTGTGAGGTTGTTTGTAGAAATTAGAATTCAGCTACCGGCTTGGGAAGTTTCACAAATCTCCATGTGATTCACAAATTCTTGCCTCCAAAGTGTTGGATCGCAGGTGTGCACCACTACACCCCGCTCAATGCCAATAGCCAAGCTCTCCATTCCTGCTGCCCCGCAGACTCACATTTGTGCATGTGTGCGTGTATGTGCGTGTGTGTGTGTGCGTAGTCGCTGCTGTCCATAGTGATGAGTGCAACTCCGCAGCGTGTGAGCATGGGCAGCGTGTTCCGTGGCTCGGATGACTTAATGCTGAACGGGCGGCAGATCAATCGCGAGGGCGACACGGGCAGCTTCCAGGATGTCCCCTACCAGCCGTGGCTCGAGTGCATGCCGCTGGGGAGCGGCAACAGCCAGAGCAGTGAGGGGGGAAAAACGATGGAGCACCTGGCAAGTGTGGGGTCTCCTTGTCGTGGTCTCTGTCAGCAGCACCTCCGCACGCTTAACTGGGGAATTCCTGGGACCTTTCTTGCCAGTATCAAAGTATTAGAATACTTTGATACTGGCAAAACCAATGAGTAATTTTATGCAGTCACGAAAGCTTTAATACTTTATTAGAATAGGTTTTACCCTTTCTGGCAATGAAACAAGTGCTAAGATGTTCAAACTCCAAACATACATCTTTTGCGAGGAATCTGTTTAAAGTAGAGCCGACGTGAGGTTGCAGGGGGTTCCTCCCCGGTCCACACTTGCCCGCGGCCTTCTCCGTGCATTCCCCGCCACTCAGCCCCCCTCCTATATCTCCCCCTTCCACTGTTCCCACTCCACTGCCCCCCTCCTTTTGGTGGGAATCCTTACCCCTGACATCCCTTACATCACCCGCTCCCCCACCCCCGGGATAAAAAAAAAACATCCTTGGTTCTGCTTACCCCTCGACCATTTCAGTCTCTCCGTGAGCCCCACCCCTCCCCCCCCCCCCCCCCCCCCCCCCCCCCCCATTTACAGTGACAACAACCCTGAACTCCCCAGTAACCATGCAATTCAATATAACAATAACAGCATCAATTGAAAGGTCTGCCGGACCCCCAGCCAGTGCCCCGTAGCAGCCCGGACACCCACAGGCTGCAGATGGCCGCGGCGGCTCCCTCCGTCGCAGCCCCCCTCGTCGAGGTCTCCGGTTCGGTGGCGCCGGCGTCGCCTCGTCCCGTGCTACCATCTCTCCAGCCCCTGCCACCACCGGTCGTGCTGCCTCTCCATGAGGCCTCACATGGGGCGCTGTAGGTGACAAGGGAACACAGGGCACCGAACCGTGCCGCGCCTGTGGGGCATGCACAAGGCCTCTGGGGTGCCTGCCGGGACAATGCGTCCGCGTTGGTGTGTCTTGTCCCCTTGCGATGTACCACCTGGTACCTGTACTCTTGTAGGTGCCAGCTGGCCTGAAGGCTGGTTGATACGGAGTGAATACTGCAAGACTGCATGTTCAGTGCGGACCATAAATTAGCGACCATTACAGGTAGGGTCGAAATTGCTCCATGAAGTGGACGACCGCCAAGAGCTCCCTACGGGTGACGCAGTACTGCTGCTCCGCTGGTGACAGCACGCGACTGCTGTAGGCGATAACCACCTCCCGACTGTGCTGGATTTGCGACAATTTGCTGCTGATACCTACATCACTGGCGTCTGTGTCCAGGATAAAGGGTAGGACGAAATCCGGAAAGGCCAAGGGTGGTGCATCCGTCAGACGCGAGCGCAGCTGCTGGAATGCCTCCTCCTCCAGGGGTCCCCAATAGAACCTCTGCTTCCTAGCCATCAACGCGTGCAAGGGCTTCACGATGGTTGCAAAGTTGGGCAGGAACCGGCAGTAGTAGGACATAAAGCCCACAAACCTGCGTACCTCTGGAACCATCATGGGAACGGCCCAGGCCCTCACGCAGGCCGTCTTTTCCGGGTCTGTAGCCACTCCAGACTCACTGACGACGTGGCCCAAGTAGCGTTACCGACGACCGCATGAGGTGGTACTTCGACGTCTCGAGCTTCAAGTTCGCGTTCCGGAACCGCAGGAATACCTGACGCAATCGGCCAGTGTGTTCGTTGGAGGATCGGCTGAAGATAATGTCATCGTCCGGGTAGATTAGGAAAATAAATCCCATTGGAGGCCTGCTAAGGCCAACGCCATTAAGCACTGGAACATCGCCGATGCGGTCTGGAGGCCCAGAAGGCAGGCAGTTGAATTTGAACAGGCCCTGTGGTGTCCGGAATGCTGTTTTGGGCCAGGAGTCCGCGTCCAGTGGGATCTGCCAGAAAATTTACAATAAATCCAGCGTGGTGAAAAATGTTGCTCCTGCCAGTGCATCAAGTGAGTCATCGATACGCGGTATAGGATATGCGTCGGCAAGCGTAATGGCATTGAGGCTGTGGAAGTCCACGCAGAATCTCAGTGACCCATCTAACTCTTGACTAGGACCACCGGTGCCCCCCAGTGACTTGAAAATGGGGAAATGATGTCGGCCCGCAGCATCTCCTGCACCGCTTGTTGGATATGCCCTTTTTATATTGGGCTCATTCTATATATGTTTTGGCGCAGGGGTGTGTTATCCCCTGTGTTGATGTGGTGCTGCAGCAGATGCGTGTGTACTATGTCGAACGATCCCCGGCTGAACACATCGGAGAACTCCTGCAGTAATGAGTGCAGCTGGTGCTTCTGATCAGGCAGCAAATCCTGCTCCGGCTCCGCCAACTGGTCCATCCACAGTCGTCACCTTTGTCCTCGGACTGGCTGACGCTTCCCATGAGCTCTGGCCCCGTCCCAGGAACTCCCAGTGACAAAGTAGTAACGTAGGCCAGAACCATTCCCGCCTGTACCGTCGCGGCCTCCACCAGTGGATGGCGATCCGTGGCGGCTGGTGCTGGAGACACCAGGATGGGTGAGTCCGGCCGGGCTGTCACGAGGGAGGACCAATATTATCAGCGGTTTAAGCAGCTGGGCTGCCGGGAGAATGGAGACAGACTCACTGACCAGAGCCTGCATGTAGGGTACCCCCCGGCCGGCCCCCTCCGCCTTCAGGAAATGGAGATGTGTTCCCTGGACTTTTACCCACCCGTTGGCCAGATCGATTTTCCTCAGAAAATTGGTCCCCAACAGGCAGGGCACGGGCAGCGCTGCGGAGACAAGCTTTGTCTTGCTGTGACAATGGTCGTCCGACCATTCGGGAGCATGGAAGGCAGCCTCGAATCGTCGGACGAATGCCTCCCAATCGCCTCCCTCGGCCACGAATTTCTCGACGGGCCCCAGCTGGCGTGCCCATCCGGCCACCTGCTCCCACCGTTGGGTGTTTGGCCCTGGCGGTCTCGGCAGTAGCGGCGGCAGCGGCTGACGTGACCTGGCGCCTCCTCCAGTAGTGCAATGGGTGGGAGAGGTGGTCCCAGCGCCGGCGGGCCCCCCATAGGGAGCCGACGCAGTAGCTCCTGGTGCGCCCTCTCCATGTGGGCCATGAAGTCCTCCATGGGGTCCGGGCGCCCTGCTGCTGCTCCCGTGACCAGGTCCCCTTGTTGTCCTGGCCCTGGGGGGGGGGGGGGGGGGTCCCAGGCCCCTGCTTCCTCTTCCATTGGCTCTCTTCCACGGAGGTTCTTCTTTGCAGCCATTGTCGGAACCACCACTGCCACCAGATGTAAAGGAGCCGACACAAGGTTGCAGGGGTTCGTCCTTTGTTGCTCCCCCAGTCTTCACTTGCCCCCAGCCTTCTCGCTCCGTCCCCCGCCAGCTCTTTTTCCGCCCCCCCTCAGCCCCCCTCCTATATCTGCTCGCCTGCTCCTCACCCTTCACCTGTTCCCACTCCACTGCCCCCCTCCTTTTGGCGGGGATGCTTACCCCTGACATCCCTTACACAGACATGATTCCTTGCAAAAAAAAATGTTTTATTTGGTGTTTGAGCATCTTAACACCTGTTTTATTGCCAGAAAGGGTAAAATATTTTCTAATACTGGGAGATTCCTGTGAAACTTCACTGTTTTAAAAATAAAAATCACTTTCATGTCACTGAAATAGCTGAAATTTCACTGCTGGACATCTGTAAAACAGAGCTTGATAGCTCATTGGATTCCTCCAGTATGAATACATATTCTGATTCTGATTAAGCCCCCCCCTCCCCCTCCAAAAGACTCAATCTATCCTTACATTGAAAATATTTGGTTCTGGTTATTAATTATTTCAAACTAGTTCAAACGAAGCTCAAAATCAATATCATGCCCTGGTGAAATGAATATGAATCGTGTAAGTCATGTGACTTACGCACAGATGGACAAAATTACATTTCTTAAAATGTAGATTAGTACCGTCTTTAAGACTTCCAGCTCATGCACTCATTGTGGCAGAATTTGACGTGAGTAGTTCTCTGAAAAAGTGCCATTGCTTAAAACATGAGCTTACTATATTTGTATGTATGTTATAAGGTGATGTGAATTACACTTTCGAAGATTTAATGTTGAGCGATGCTTCGTGGCAGTTTTACTTAAAAGCGCAAAATTTAACTGACAAAGAAGTCGATGATGTGAGGATAGCGATTGTGGATTTATACTCTGCACTTGGCACACTCTTATGCTGTTTGTGTTGTTCTCCACAGGGATTTGAAGGAACCATGAGAATGAGGTCTGATTCTTTTCAGATTTCGGCAGATTTTTTGGATGATCCTATCAGCCGGGAGCGTGCGATGAGTGCAATAAGTGCCATTGAAGGTAACATTCCTGGGGGAGCTTTGCGATTTGTGGTCAGGGAGCACAAAAGCCATTTGTCCACCACTTAACTTTGCAAATGCCCTAAAATTTGCTGTGCAACATCTTTTAAAGGATATTTTATATATATTTTTCCAAATCTGATTTGCAACATCAGGCTGTTAGACGTATAATCAAGTGGCAGATCTCTCCAGGAAGAGCATTGCCCACCGTGCGTCTGAGAAGGGCTGCTGCTCAATAGATCATTGTCATTTAACTCCCGACTGCAAACCCAGAGCCAGTCCGCTGCTCCCTCGGTCACTGTCTCTGGCTGTGGTGATCAATACCACTCTTAGCCTGGCATTCACGTTGGCACAACACGGGAGTCAGCACCTCGGTGACACGATCATTATAATTCTTTCGGCCCGAGTACAGAAACATTGCTTAAATCTAAGCAGGACGTGATTTGCGAAAGCCACAAAAATTGTGCACCAGTATTCCCTCATTATTCACAAAACCTGCTTTCCGCGAATTTGGCTATCTGATGCGAATGGCATCAGGAATTGCATCTCGAGAGAGAGAGAGAGAAAGTGATAGGATAAAGTGATTAGAGGAAATGTGATGCCCGAAAGTCATGCAATAAAGTGATGAGATAAAGTGATGATGCATAGCATCATCATAATTTAAGGGAATTTAATTTATAAACTATTACTTAATACTTTCATATGTATTCATATTTGATTTATGTTAATTACAACCATTAAAATTTTGTTGTGTTATGATCATTTGTTAGCTATTTAAGGTAATTCAATTAAAATATAGCCTTTTGTCATCCAATATTATCCTGAAAATATGCTATTTACAAGCATCTCTGGAACGTATCCCTCGCATATAACGAGCAAACACTTAAATGCATAAAGCGAAGTGCCTGGGTGCCTCGCAGCCATTTCTCAGACAGAGACCGCTCGTCAGTGGTTGCTGTGGATAACACCACCACTCCCACTACACCAGTCAATCGGCTGTGGATAACACCATCACTCCCGCTACACCAGTCAATCGGCTGTGGATAACACCATCACTCCCACCACACCAGTCGATCTGCTATGGATAACACCATCACTCCCACTACACCAGTCGATCTGCTGTGGATGACACCATCACTCCCGCTACACCAGTCAATCTGCTGTGGATAACACCATCACTCCCGCTACACCAGTCAATCTGCTGTGGATAACACCATCACTCCCGCTACACCAGTCAATTTGCTGTGGATAACACCATCACTCCCGCTACACCAGTCAATCGGCTGTGGATAACACCATCACTCCCACTACACCAGTCAATCGGCTGTGGATATCACCATCACTCCCGCTACCAGAAGTGATTGATGCATGCGTTATTGTGTGGCCCACCAAAGTTGGCTTGAACATCATATTCAGCCATCAGTAATTAAAAGGTTGCCCACCCCTGATTTACTAGAAGCACGCAAAAGTGGAATCTCTAGCAGTGGCAGTAACCTGACTGTTGGGCTTTGTGTTCAGAAGAAGAGAAGAAGACCAAGTGCCCTCCGTGCTGGGATAGATTTGTCAACAAGTTCCTCATCTGGACCTGCTGCCCGTTCTGGAAGAGGGTAAAGCGGCTGGCCAAGATAGTGGTCATGGACCCCTTCGCCGACCTCTTCATCACACTCTGCATCATCATCAACACAGTGTTCATGGCCATGGAGCACTACCCCATGAAGCCTGAATTTCAAGCGATGCTGGACACCGGCAACAAGGTCAGTGATATGCGATCGCGGTGGGCGGAGGGCGGAGGGGGTCTCACAGCAGCTGTGCAGCGTTTCCACGAGCAGTAGAAATCAGACGTGAGCCATGCCGCACCGCTTCTGGGACAGCTCGGCACAGCTTGCGCCCTTTCGCCTCCCTTTCCTCTGCAATTAGAGGAAAGCAATCTTAGTAATTTAAAACCCCTTTTTCGCGAGGTTTAACATATGCTTGAATCAGCTGATGTTATTCCAAGCTAAAATAATTAAATGTAGTGCAAATTTCCACAAGTGTTTTAAAGCTTTGACAAGTGTCTGTAATTGAGCTCGGATATACAGTATATGAGCAATCGGGTGGAGCAGTTGTGTAGTGGTTCACGCACTATGCTGTAAACCCAGCGACCTCAGTTTGATATCCAGCCGTGCCGAACATCAGTGACGAGTGACACCTGAACTGGTCTTGGGCACCATCTTCACCAACCCACACTGACCAGCGTGGTAAAGTTTAGTAAAATAACCCCATCACTGCAAGGTACCGTGAGTCCTTCGTCCAAGAGTGCATTGAAAAAGGGCTGTACATCACGTTCCATTAAATATGTTTTTGTCTACGAGGTATACCTCTGTGAGTCAATTGTAACAATTTGTCTTAATCTTTGACCACACATCAGGGTTCGTATTACGTCATTGAAATGTACAACAGGGACTCATACATCATCTAAAGAGACCACATCTCAATACACTATACAAATGCAAGCAGTGTGAGGGGGGTGAGGCATATGCATCATGATTTTTCCAGGCTCTATTCTATCAGAAGCTGCACCATTGTGGAATGCCTCGTAGCAGATTGTTTATCGCACGGTAAGTTCATTGTGGGATGTCTCAAAAAGCCGAGACAACCTTGTTTTGGACAGGGCAGGGTTCGTGGAAGTGAATTTAAGCTGCCTTCTGCTGCACTGATGCAGCCTTAATCGAATAACAGACCCAGGATAGGTTTAATGGGAACACATTAAGACCATTACCACGCACGGTGGGTTATGTAAGCCGTGGGCAGGTGTCATGCCGTGGTATGGCGGGCACACGGAGCCATTAAACTTGGCTGTGTTCCATCGCAAGGTGCCAACCGAACCATCTGAGGCAGTTAATGCCGGCACACGCAGCTGTGGCCATTGTTGACGTTTTCCATGGGCTGACAATTACCGCGGTCCACACCGGCCTCCAAAAAAACTATTACAATTGTGGCAACATCGTCATCATCATCATCAACAACATCGGCAAACAGCTGCTGCGTGTGAGAGCGCAATTCACCAGGCCACAGAGGCTTAGCCCCTTCATCTGAAATTCAGCCAACGTGACATCCAAAGTGGTTAATGCTTCTTTAACACGGGGCTACAAAAGCCCTCGACCGCTAATTCCAGAAGTGAAGTGGAAATAAAACTTTTAAGTTGGGCGGCACGTTTCATATCCCGGTTTAATGTGACCGTCATCATTATCATCGTCGTCGTCATCATTGTGGTCATCACCGTCGTCATCAATTGCACCTCTGTTTAAATTATCATTTAAGTTGAATAATAATAACAATACTTCGAGCCCTTTGTCAATCTTTTGATGGATGAACGCCTCCTCATGCGGTGTTGGTGATAGGGGTTGTTTGACCATATTTCATCACACTGGGTTCGTAAAGGTTGAGTCCAGTGCTCGTCCAGATGTCACTCGCCACTGATGTTAGCCATGGTAGGGAATCAACCTCAGGTGGCGGGGTTTTGAGTGTAGTGCGCTTCACGACTCTCACCACCAATCCACCGCGACTTGTTATTGCTATGTTATATACTCTCACATCTTCCTCTAGACTTTGTTGTAAAAAATATGATGTCATGTCACAATATTATGGACATTCGTTAATGGAGTCACAAACTTGAGCAATATATCAAGTTATAATGAAATAAATAAAATTTTATTTTGTAATGTTTGCTTTCTGGGTCGAACAATTCACCCTTCCTCCCCTCTCCAATGATTCAATGAATTTTCGTGATTGAGTGTCATGATTTTATTATTTTTGTAACATTGTGGTGAATGGTAGCTGCCTAAGTTGGCTGCAGGCGTCACACAGCATGAAATAAAACAATAAAAAAGTATTTTTTTTACATGGGCACCTTTATTTGTATCGTGTCTGTCAACAGTAGAAAGTAGAGTGTGAGCAGGGCTTAATTTCTTACTATATATTTTCAGGATTGCTGGTAGTCTGGAGTACGTGACATGTGACTCGTGGACATAGGGTTAGATATTCTGGATGTGGTGTGCCGGATGTAGAAATATTTTCCAGTTCGCCGTTCCCCGACAGACGCGACTGAAATTAATCCCTGAGTACGCGGAATAACCTCAACGATACGTTGACAAATCTAAAAGAGCTTTTCCCTCTCCCTACCATTGTCTCCACCCCCCCCCCCCCCTCCTCCTCCCCAACATCCTCCTCCTGCTCTCGCTGCGCTGCCATCTGAAGCTCTTCACCGCGATCTTCGCCGCGGAGATGGTCCTGAAGTTGGTTGCGCTCGATCCATTCTACTACTTCCAGCAGAAGTGGAACATCTTCGACTCGTGCATCGTGACGCTCAGCTTCGTGGAGCTGGGCCTGACCGGCGTTGATGGCCTCTCCGTGCTGCGCTCCTTCCGCCTGGTGAGGCGGTCCGCGCCAGGGTACCGGCCCCGACACAGCACTGGCGACAGCGCGATGCAATTTGTGCAATGCGCTGCAATGTGGACTTACGTAGCGTCGTCTGAATGCGACTGTGACAGAAGTGGCGGGTACATTTAATTTTGTGGAGAGTAAGAGGCAGTCGGGTACACGGGGCCAAGGAAAAAAAATATATTGTCACGAGCCTGGGATTGAACAGAGGCAGGGAGTTGACAGCACAGATGGCTGGTGGAATGGAGTAGTTCCAAACCAGAGAGGCAGCAGAGGCGAATAAGCGACCTCCCACTGAGCAAACTTTGACAGGCGGATTGACGTACTTGTAGAGATGCATGCTTGGAATTACATTAAGAGACATAATGAGGAACACATGGATTAGAGAAACCAAACAGAGGTTCATGACACCAAGAAAACTGTTAGGAAAAGAAAGTGGGCTTGGGCAGGACGCTTCACTCGAAGGGAAGATGGCCAGTGGAGTGGCAGACAAGTACGGTAGTCCAACGCATGCCAGAGTACACCGACTGGGGAGATGGAGCGATGAAATCGGTTTGCATGTTGGTGCGTGGTGGATAGTTGCATTGCAGGATCTTGAGAGGTAGGACTTGGGAAAGTCTTCATCCAGCTGTGGATTGACCATAGCTGATGATGATGATTGTAATATGTAACATAGCTACAAATCAGCCACAAATCTGGCTGTCCTGCTGATGATGCTAGTTGTAATTACTGGCGAAACGTCGTACTCAGATTGTAAATGTTGTGGATTAGCTCTCCAGCACAACGGTGTGCTGTACTTGTAACGAATTGGCACGTTCTATTTACGGGTGGTGGTGGGTTTAATGCCACATTCATATTTACACACTCTAACCCAAAAAAACTATATTATGGATGATATTGGTCGCGTAAACCTATGTGTTAAACGTCTCCATATTTGCCAAACACGAAGATGACACTGAAAATTACTCAATTGGGATGATACGCAATAATCTTTGCCCCCATACTGGCAGATTAATTGCCCCAGGTCACTGTTTGAAATGAAACTATCCTGATTTCTTGGGTTCTCACCTGCTTAAGCAAAATGTATCTGACACTTGCTACTACGGATGTCATACCTGCAAGGTGTATATCCTCTGTGCATGTCTTGTGGGGAGCGGTGATTCCATAGGAAACATGCCGCACTGCACACCCAGCAACCAGTTTGATATCCCGACCACAACTAATATCAATGCCAGTAGTATCAAATCCCTTCCTGGACGTCCCGTAGGTCGAGTCAGTCTTAAATAAGCACCTACTAATGGCATCAACGTGCTGGGGAGAAATAAAGGCGGCCGGATGCGGCGCTGGTCATGGCACACCCGTGTGTGCCGGCCCTGCTGGCTTCAATAGGCACTCGCCAACAGCGTGCGTCCCACCTGCCGTCGAAGGCTGCTTTAAGGATCTTCGTGTCACTTTTGCGACTCCGCAGCTGAGGGTGTTCAAGCTAGCCAAGTCGTGGCCCACGATGAACGCCCTCATCAAGATCATCGGCAACGCCGTGGGGGCCCTGGGCAACCTCACCATCATCCTGGTCATCGTCATCTTCATCTTCGCCGTGGTGGGCGTGCAGCTCTTCGCGAAGCACTACGATGAAAATAAGGCGATGCAGATCATTCCCAACGAGTGTCCCCTACGCTGGCACATGCGGGACTTCTTCCACTCCTTCCTTATCGTCTTCCGCATCCTGTGCGGCGAGTGGATCGAGAACATGTGGATCTGCATGGAGCTCGCGGGCCAGCCGCTCTGCATCGTTGTCTTCATGATGGTGCTCATATTCGGAAACCTCGTGGTGAGTGTCACGTGAGTGCCAAACGTAAGCAATGCATATGTTATCAGAGTGTTTTTTGATTGCATTCTGACCACAAGTATTGTGGTTAATGCAGACATGATTCCTTGTAAAAGGTTTCAGTTTGGTGTTTTAACATCTCAACACCTGTTTTGTTGCCAGAAAAAAGGGGAAACCTATTCTCATGTTTTGGTACTGGCAAAGGAGGTCCCATGATATAGCTGCTCCCCCGAGCTCTCATTACTCTGATAGTGGCATTGTCTTTGTGCTGTACGCCTTTTGGCGTCCTCTGGTCTAACACCGTTTGAGACGAGGCTCAAAAGAAATCTGTCTCTGTGTGGACCAATCAGCTTCAAGGACAATGCATATATTATCAGAATATGTTTTTTGTTTGCATTCTGGCCATACGTATTGTGGTTAATGTAGACATGATTCCTTTTAAAAGGTTTCAGTTTGTATACTGAATATATACACAGTATATACACACAATGGAACTATCGATATGTTTAACGTTTTAAGAAATAATGAGTGCACTTAACCAGTAAGCAGTTTACTACCTGATTCTACCACTGGTGCATCATTGGAGACATGAAATGGCCTTGAGGGAGACAAAACCCCAACCAGGGAGACGTCAGCTGGCATATAATAATTCCAATGTATAATGTGCATTCCATCCTATAATCTCAATGTGCAATGCATGAAAAGCAGGAAACAAAAACAGAACCAGGGCAACCGATCAAACACAAGAGGGAAGGCCGCTTTAAAAGAGATGGGTTTTCAAAGTAGACTTAAATATCTTGATTTGAAGCTTTCGTGACTGCAGGAATCCATACTCTTTGGTTCTTTCGGTAAAGTCACGTAAGTATAAAATAAAATAAATCACGACGTTCCGTCATCAGGTGGGAGGGACGCTTGTGTTGCGCCCGAAACGTCGTGATTTATTTTATTTTATACCTACGTAACTTTACCGAAAGAACCAAAGAGTATAGACTTTAATATATCTACCGAGTGGCAAAGCATTCCATAGCTTGGGTGTCACGCTAACAAAAGCCCGATCACCAAAACAGCGCAACCCAGACCTGGGAGTGCTAAGCTGATGGAGACCAGAAGATCTTAAGGACCTTGAATATATAAATGTATTAGTTCATGCAAGTAACGTGGGGTGAGCCATTTTAAAGCTTCATAGGTTAATAGCAGTATCTTAAAATCCGCGTTTTGTCATAGTCATTGATGAACCAGGGGATAGTGGGGCGTTGGGGGGGGGGGGCATCGAGGTCTAGTCGACAATTGTACTTTTAATTATCAAGCCTAAACTGCACGGTTTCGCTTTTGAGGCTGTCGATGGTGAAGGCTTTTAATGGGTACCCGAAGGATGTGCCCCACCAACTGAAGCGTATAACGCTGACACCCTCCAATTGGATCATGTCTACGTTGTGTTTCTCCGCTGTGAAAAAGAGTGTGATGACTCATCGGATTCCTCCAGTTTAAATACAGATTCTGGTCCTGTTTCCAGAGTCTGCAATTTCCTTCTGTTAACCAGTTCCTTTTAGGTGTCGGGGTAAAATGTGTCTACCGCTAACTGTCTCATATTTTTATTGCCCTATTAATTCCAATGGTATTGACTTGATTCGAAGCTTTGGTATTGTTTTGAAAATGGTGTGGTATTCAGACTATGTCGTTGTTCCGACATCCACTCATCCACATCTAGCACCCTCACCTGCTGACCCTCCAGCTTTAGAACGGATTTTTTTTGTTATTCTGTAGTTTCCACTATTGTAGCAAGGGTTAGTGGCATCCCATCTCCTGCCACAGCCCTATTTAAAATTCCACGTTAGAGCCCTCTGTCATGGTCACGGTTTTGGGTTCAATAAAAAACAATATTTTTAAAAAGCCCATGTTAGTCCTGTGCCAACAGCTGCTTTGTCCCATTGACACTTTATCCGGGCATGACACTTTATTTATTGACAGTTAGATTCTACTGAATGATCGTGTGTCACAAATTGTGCCAAGAGGGCGGGGCGGGAACGGAAATTGTTTTTTTGTGTTTGCGCACACGCTTATGCAGACCATTTGAATGCTTCCCCTTCTTGACGAACCGTAACACACTTCAAAAACACTAACCCGTACGGGTCTTTAAATACAGTTACATCATAGTGGTCTGACTTATGAACCGCTCGACTTATGGACGGGTTTTGGGAACGCAATGTGTCCATAAGTCAAGAACAGCCTCAGGAAACAGTAAGCTTTGGGAAGTTTGTATTGCCAGGTTCTTTGTTTTTTGTTTTGTTTTGGGAAACGTATAGCGCGCGGCCTGTTTTTTTAGTTATTGACCCCGCGTGGCTTTATTCACGTTTCAAAAAGCAGCTTGCCTTAACGCTAACCAAATTAATGGATGCCCAAATGCACTTAACTAGTGCGGCTGCATTTCATCGCCATAGCAACGAGATATCTCGTCGAATCGGTTTTACACTGAGTGCAGTCTGCTGCCGTGGAGCAAACGGACTCATCTGAGTATGGAAGTCACACAGGGGAGATAGGGGATTCACAAAAAAAATGAAAAACCAAGAAGTGACAAAGGGTCTGTAGCCATCCACATATATGTGACAAGAGTAGGTGCCACGGGGTAATGGGATGATCCATTCTTTTTGTACATACACAATCGTAGGTGAAGGTATTCATGCTGGCTTCCACATGCAAATTGTGCGAGTGAAATACATCATCAGAAAAAAAGCGTTCTCTAGATAATACGTCAGTACTGTAATTGGGATTTAAAGTAAATTCATGTTAATGTAAATGGTATTTAACTTGATCTTTTTTTTTACAACGATTAAGGTTATGACAGGGCACCTTTGCATCACATAGTCCGGCAACCAGGCTCCACTCCATCGAAAAAATGCTCTTCCAGTCCAGACTTTACGTGAAGCACTGTGTACGATAAGCACTGCCAGAGTGCCTGTGCTTGGCATGTGGAGAAAACAAGATACAAGAGCAGGGCTGGCCTTTAGGGGTGGGCAATCAGGGTGGGTACAAAGCTGTGAAGGGCGCCAAAAATGTATGAGTCTGGTGCGGCAATTATGGTCCCTGGGAAGTTCTTTCGAGCCCTCAGGCTGAGCTGAGTCAACATGGGGCCCTGCGCATATGGGAGGGAGGACACACAGAGACACAGGGACACAGAATAGACAACTTTGATCCCGTCTCCTCCTGGCACCCATCAAAGGATTGCTTTGAAAGGGTCAAAGGGCCTCTAGATCTTTGTTTCACGCCGGACACAATTTTTACTGTACATGTGAAAAATGCTTCGATTCATCGGTGAATTGGCAAGCTAACGATACGATGCATTGAGTCACGCTCGTTGACATTTATGAAAATTAAATGCGAGTGTTATGCTGATGCTGCTTTTGGGCTATTGAATCAAACAAAAGCTACGCAAATGTTGGTGGTAAAAACGAGAAACAAAAAATAATCAATGTTTGACTCAAACCACAACCTCGAATTGTGACAGTTTATCGAATCCGCTGGTGATTGCAGAGCGTGGGAATGCACATTATGCCCAAGCCCAGATTGGGTACGTATTTCTGAATTAATGAAGCCGTTCATTCGTTCAATGCTTTATAAGTAATGCGAATTACTAATAAAGCATTACGTGATTGTCGGCACAACGCACTCCTCGGACCAACTGGCGTTTTCATCTCGTGATGAGGCCGCAAAGACAACACGCCTGCACCTGGGCGCTTCTTTGTACGTGCTTGATTAGCAAACAGATTATTAATTATTAATCAATGTTTTGTTAATGTCAGCTTTACGTATTGATTTCTTAAAATTTTACGAGCATTAATTTTTAAGTCGTAAACATTGGACCGTGCCAAGGATTATCCAGCCGAAAGTTGCCAGCATGTGCAATTTGCATGTCTTCCCTGCTTTTAAAATTATATGGATATTCCTAATGCGATATACAGTGCTGCATTATAATACATGGCATTTTAATAATTAATTTTCCATACGCTCATCCTTTCAGACGGCATTAAGAGTTCAATAAATTTATCTCTCCAATAAAATGAGCACACAAAACCATCCTTTCCACATTCAGCTCGCGTCCACACATTCTCTTTGTGAGTATACATAGTTTACCTTTTAAACACTGTTCAAACTGTTAAGAAAAGTCAGTGGACTTGTTTAGGATGTGTCATGGCTAGAAGGGACAATGGCCGACGGTCAAGAAATATATAAATAACGAAGAATGCAGCCAATTAATGAACCACGCTCAAGAGGGCATCCACTGTATTTACGGTTAATAGGCCCGCAACATTTACCAGGGTGGCCACGAGCCTCAATCCGCGAAGAGCAGACCTAATTTCATTCCTTGTACTAGGACCCGGCCAACCATGATACGCCACCAAATCAATTCATAGCTTAAAGAGAGAGATTGGGGCAGGTGTCTTGATACAACAAGGACACCATGGCACGTCGGCTGTGTTTAATGGCGCTTGTCTGTAGCGTCCCGACATCCTCGTGCTTTGACTCGGAAAGAGCTGGAGGATGGTAGAGTGGTGTGGGCGGTAAGGTTGCTATAGTCGAGCATCAAGGAAAAAGGAAAATATTGCAATACCGGAATAGGAGAGAACCACACGCAAGCGTCTGGTTGTGACAAAAAACGGAAATAGTTACACATTCTCCAGAACAGCTACCCAGGAGAGCTACCTCATAAAAGCAGACGGTTCTGGAAAAATCAGGACAGGTGGAAAATCCTCGTGGCTGGACGAGTTGATTGACGTGCAGTGGCTCACGGGTATCCACTTGGCTCCGATAATCATCTGTCGGGGTTTATGTTGGCAGTGGCATGGTAGAGAGATAATTTCAGCAGAATGAGACGATACAAACAGTACATAGAAAATAGGACATTTCCATTGTGGCTCCGGTTCATGCGTCGGAGCAGGTTTTTGCAAAATGTAGGTTTTGCTTGTTTCACGCGCAGTGTGTACTGCACTGTATAGACGATAGACCTTGTAACACTAGGCCAGAGGCACTCATCAAAAATAATTACAGGGTTTACAGACGGATGGCAGAAGATATGTGTTGTGTTATCTGTTGCCTTTTATTGCAGAAACATTAGAAGCTTGATTCATTGACCATATAGATATATATCTTTTATCTCTTACAGTGACTACAAGCAGGTTAGTCTGTTGAAATATGGGAAAGCCAGCTGGACAAAAAATATTTGTATAAACTTTTAATGTTAATTTGGCTAAATTCGACTAAATTCCATCTCAGAAAATTAAAAGATTAATTTTAATGTCACGTGACATCCCCCCTTCCTGCCCTGTTGCTCTGTGTAACGGTGCAGCGGTGTCGAGATGTTAACAACCTCGCCTGGCATGCAGGAAGGAGCTCGTGGGTTAAATCCCGACCCTGACGCCTGTATATTTGGAGTTTGCATGTTCTCCCCGTGGTTGTGTGGATTTTTCTCCAAGTCCCTCTGGGTTTTCACCTCCACATTTAGAAACACGCGTTTAGAGTATTTGGCTGCGATTGATTTCCACGTGATAAGCCACTTCTTGGAGCTTTCATTTGCAGTCAGGTCACTTCTGAAAAAGCGCGATTTGGCTCAGTGAGCCTTACCTGGTAAAATAAAATGTTGAGTATAGTTTTAGTTTAACCCGTGATATCCACTTCCATGAGCCATTCTGGGAAATGAAGGGTCGTACTTCACTGCAAGACATCTGTAGGGATTCTTCATCTGGTGACATGATGCCAGTAGCACACTGGGGATCCAATTGAGGAAAAAATGAAAATATATATTATTCTTGACATTAATAAACATGTACTTATGAAGCCTAACTGGATATTAAGTGTCCTAAATGAGATTACCTGTGCCTTATAAAATTATATTTGCTTGTGACGTTAGCACGGTTGGCTACGTATGGTGCGAAAGAAGCTCAACATACATACATACATAGATAAAAGGGAGAGACGTAAATCAGGGAGACGTAAATCGGCGTATTATTACTGTGCCTATCTATGGAGGCATACATAGTAACAGGAGGAAATCCATGTTCATGAGAAGAGAACGCTCAAACTCTGCACAATCGGGTCACAAAGTTCATTTCTATAGGTGGTAACCGCTCATGGATTCTGGTCGGGGTTACGGGCAGTCACAAGTGACTCCAATTTTCTTTTCCCCGCATGTACAGAGGCACAACCGAGTCCGAGCCTCTTCGCCATCGACTCGAGACTATGATTTTTCGCGTCACACAAACACGGCACATTTAAGACGGAAGCCGCCTGCCGTGTCTCCCTTCTTTCCGTTGGCCCCTCACCCCGGCGCAGGTGCTGAACCTCTTCTTGGCGCTGCTGCTCAGCTCATTCTGCGCAGAAAACTTCACGGCGGCAGACGACGACACTGAGGCGACCAACATGAAGATCGCGCTGGGCCGCATCCGCAACGGGATCGCCTACGTGGCCTCCAGCATCCACCGCTTCATCTGCAAGGTGCTGCGCTGCGGGAAGGTGCCGGACAGCAGGCAGAAGATCGACATCGTCAAGCTGGAGCAGATGAAAAATGTCTCCGGGGGTTTCGCGGGCACGAACGGCGCGAACCATGTGCACAACGTTGTGTCCAACGGCAGCATGTCGAGCATGGCCGTGCCCGTCGCCATGGCCGAGCTCGAGTCCGACATACCTGACCACGGATCCACGCTCACGGTAATGAGGCCTCCACTTCCTTAAACTGTTCAACTATATATATGGTTTTTTTTTTATATTTTTGACCAGGTAAGGGCCCACAAAGCTATACAGCTAAATGTGGAGGGGAAAAAAAAAACGGAGGAATATACACGTGACCACGGGCAGAACTTGCACACTCCAAATAGACAGGCATCAGGGTCGGGATCGAACCCATGTCCTGTATACTAAGCGAGGATGTTAACATCTCGCCACCAAACCTCCAACTAGCCCCCTCCTCCCGTCCTGGCCCTTCCCACCTGAAGCTACCAAACATTCCGGTTTGACCTCGGACACTGCCAGTTTCGCAAATATCGTCCCATTCGCGACTTGTGATTTCGGCAAAAGAGTGGGGGCTACCTGAGTAGTGGGTAGGGCCTACGGGCAGTATTTGGGGCCAATGTCAAAACAGCGAGGAGGGCCCCTCACTATGTGTGTGGGGCTAATTATCGTGTGGTTTTTGTAAAAGTGTGAGTGGCTGGATGGGTGGAGGGGCTGACAGCTTACCACGTGACCTGGTTGAGCCTACAAGAAATTTGACAGATTTTTCCTCCACAGCTTTATCCTGCCCCTCTTACCCCGTAACGTTGCGTTACTGCATATTGCAAATTGGATTGTAATTTAAAATGCGACAGTTTGGGCTTGCGATTCCATTCAGCAGCCAATTATTTGTTTGCCCCTGGCCTCCTACGTATGGCTGATGTTGTTGATGTAGAGCAATGGGTAACTGCGTCAGGGGTATCAGAGTTTATCGCTGCGAGGATGCCTCATTTGCATTTATGCGTCGTATTTGGCCCTGCCCTTGTCTCTGGTCTCTGTCCTAAATAATGCCCATTGCTCGACCGAAACATGAGTCCATTGTATAGTACAAAGCAGTGTTCACGATTAAGGTTGTGATATGTGCATGCATACCACCACTGCCAACATTGCAATCCCTTAATTGTGTCGTTTGATTGTGAAGTTTGATGCAATGGCAATTTATGCACTGTGACCAAGGGTTACTCCACCCAGAGCCTGGGCTCCAGCCTGGTGGATGAGGCAATGGAGGGGGAGGCGACTGACGGAGTGCTGGCGAGCGAAGAGGAGAAGACAAAGCAGCAGGAGGAGGAGGAGGAAGCGGAGAAAAAGTATGGGGAACCGGAAATAGTGGAGTCAGGACCTGGAGACTGCTTTCCAAATGGTACCAGAATTACCTCAATACACAGATGTCTTCCATTACCAACTCCTTCCTTCCTCCTTCCCCTCTCCACAAGCTTCTCCCAGCTGTCAACATTGCTGCCCACAGTGGCAGGGCTGTCATGCTTTGGGATCTCTGGGAGTGTGAGACGTGCCAGTTGTCGCGTGTAGGGGTGCCAATTCGGTGAACCTCACCTGTAAATTTCAGCACCAAGGGTGCCGGCGGCATTGAGGGGAGGGGGCGTTGCCGGGCATGCATGGTGAGGGCTCTTGCACCCGTTTGTGTGAGCTATTAATGTGTGCGTGTCAGTGGGGTTGCGTTGCATTCAATGTGCGTGCGTTTGCACGTAAGTGCGTATTTGCGTATGTGACGGACGAGGGGGTTGGTGCTGGCCTCATAACCCCCCTTTTCTGCCATCCAGGCGATAACAGGTGCTCGCTAACAGCACTGGCCAGGCCGTGTTGGCGATCTTTGTCATTGTTTGCTTGTTGAAGAGTACGTATTTGTACGTATGTATGTTGAACTTCTTTCGCACCGTACGTAGCCAACTGTGCTCATCGGAGGTGCGGGGGAAGGACAACAAACTAAACACAAAAAGCAGTTCTAAAGAAACGAGTTATCAATATAGATGTAATGTGTTCCTCATCAGTACTTGCCCCAACACTCCGTTAAAGGCTATATGGGGTGTCTCTGTCTTAGTTTGCGTATGAGCGAGCCATTTATGCGTGTGTTTGCCTGACGTCCTGTGTCGGCGGATGAGCCTGTGAAGGAGTTCAGGTGCATGTCACACAAACACACAGTGATTTAACAGTGTGGGGGGAGCGGTGGTGTAGTGGTGAGTGCACTCCAGTTACGAATCCGGCCACCCGAGTTCAATTCCCACTCACAGCCAATGTTGGTCGACATCCTTTAATCAGTATCTATTGCAGTGTGTAAGCATCAACACTGGACAGACAAATTTGGCCGGGTGTGGTGCTGGCCACCACCGTCCATGAATGCCCTGCTAGCATTAATAAGTGCTCACCAACAGCACTTGCCCCAGCAGTCTGTTAAATGCTATATGGGGGTCGTTGTCTTTGTGATGCGGCAGTCCTGAAGCAATAGCAATGGACAAAAATCCCAAACTTTTCCCAAACTTTTCAGGATCTATCATTGTTTGTTGTTTTGACTGAGTTTGCTTTATCAGATATCTCTTGATAGAAAAAAAATATTCCAAACCAAACTGGATTCCTACACTCTTAGAGAAAGGCCAGCTCATGACACGCAAGTAAACCTATTATTTGTATTACTACAAGCTAACAACTGTACTCTTTCAAGCTTCAGAAAAAATAACTCATTACGCACTACGTGAATAAAGTACAAATACATTCCAAATAGACAATAGCATGCGTGAGCGGTGGGGTAGTGGTTAGCGCGCTGTGCTATAAACCCAGCCACCTGAGTTTCATTCGTAGCCACGGCTGATGTCAGCGGCGAGTGATATCTGAACAAGTCCTGGGCGCCCTTTCACTAAACCGCACTGACCAGAGTGGTGAAGTATAGTAAAACTACCCCTCCCCTCCCCCACAATAACTGGCATGGCGTTGAGATTCCTTCGTCTAGTAGTAAATTGAAAAATGTCTGAAGATAAAATAATGCATTTTTTTTTACGACTTGGCAGTTTTGTACGGAACCTGTCTCGTAGCATTAGTGAATGACTCTTGCTAATGTGATTTAGAGTGTGCATTTGCGAGCGGAATTCTAAGAATTGGAGCTCACAGAAAGCGGTCACTGCCGATTGAATCATTAGCTTCCCCAGAACTATTACTCGTAAGATTTTCTAATGCAAAAGCAGTTGTTTATAAGGCCTGAATCTAATGATGAGCAGCGGCCATCGGAAATTGAAACCAGTTCAGAGTTTTGCCTGATCGAACCAATCCTGCTGCAAAACATTGCTCCGGACACCTCAGAAGCCACTGAATGGAATGGATACCCTATTTGAATTTGGAGATATTAAGTGTGTCCGCTTATTTATTTCTTGACTGTAGGTGTTACCCACGAAACAATGGTGTCCAGCACAGTGGAGAAACTTGTAGCTGAAGCGACCCAGGGGAGTGGAGGGTGGAACATGGCCGCCTCGCTCGCCATCCACAACGGCTCCGAGCGGCTGTGCAAAGTAGAGCCGCCCCACGGAAACAGCTGTATGTGTGCGTGCGTATGCTGAACTTCTTTCACACCGTGCGCAGCTGAACCGTGCTAAACAGAGGTGTGGGGAAAGGTCAACAAAATAAATACAAAAAGCAGTTCTAAAGAAATTAGTTTCCTAGTATCGGAAGGAAGCGTGTTCCAGACGGCCGCGAAAGCGCATCTGGAAGCGCGCGATGCAGTGACCGTCTTTGTTCGATGGTTATTCAAAAGCCGCTGCGAGGATGACCGCAGTGGCGACATTGTTATAGGGTTAGCGCAGATCAATTAAAGTTTTTGTAAAAAAAAATATTAAAACGAGGAAGAAAACAAATTTTAAACATTTTGTTTGGGATCGTGTAATGAGGCAACCATATGGTTGAGAAGGGAGCGGGCCAAGGTCGCAGAAACAAGAGGTGGAGCCCCCACAGAGCAGTGCCGACAATAGATCGGCACGACTTGGGTCTGCTTTCCAATGGCACTGAGCTTTCCAGGTCCTTAAAGGTTTCTCCAGAGGTAATCGGCGAAGAACTCATCCCCTGTTCATCCCATCTGCCGATATCTTCCAAATCCAACATTCATTATTGATGAAGAAGCCGCTGATGTTTAATCTCTTAAAATATGCCAATATCTGACTTTTTGGGTAACCCATATCATGTAAGCGCATTTGACGAATCGTCCCTCTGGGGATTCGATTAATTCTCACGAGAGTCTTTGTCGCAATTAGATTCAAGAATCAATTATTTGTTTGTCTGATCTTTAAGTCTCGTTTGTATTGTTCTTTTTTTTCATTTGTATGTCTCCATTGACCTCAATAGAGCATGAGCGTATAACTGATTCATTGTATGTCATTGATTTTCACGTGCACAATTCAATGACCGGCTTGTATCGTCAGTGTACGAATGGGTTTGATTGATGAGTCGGAGTATGGTTTTATGAATATCCTTTGCACTTATCTATTTGGATTTCCTGGCTGGTGCCTGCATATTTTAATTTTTTTGTTACTTTTTTTTATAATGTTATCTCATTTATGTAATCGGAGTGACGTCGTGAAACCAAAAAGCTATTTGGAACTCTTACAGGAGCAACGCGACAAAAGCGGATATTTTTACACCTTTGGTCAACACAATACATTGCAGTATTCAACTATCATCTTCATGATCCTTCTCAGCAGCGGAGCCCTCGTGTGTAGGACCACACATTTCACTCAATGCTGATGTCGAGTCAGGAGCGTCCAACGTGATTGTATCCGATCATTTAAATTGAGCCATGCTAAGCACACAAAAAAACTAATTTGATGCGCTGATTTTTTTTCTATGCAATCATTGGTTACTGGGCTTCAGATCATCATCCCACTGCACACTGACAACCGGCATTAATCACGGACGACCAAAAGCCACATTTGAATCCAGTATCTCAGCGGAGCCGGCCCCAACGCTCTGACCTGTGAGCAAACCCGAGCCACCTCCCCTCCCGTCATGTTTCATTTCTAAAGTTGCCATCGTTGCGGTGGGTGCGTGCGCTGACAGTGGTCGCGCGGAACTTCCCGTGTTGCAACGTGGACGTGAAGCGGGGCTGCTGCCTGCCATGCTGGACCCTGCGGCGGACGTGCTTCACCATCGTGGAGCACAACTGGTTCGAGACGTTCATCATCTTCATGATCCTTCTAAGCAGCGGAGCCCTCGTGCGTAGGACCACACACTTCACTCAATGCTGATGTCGAGTCGGGAGGGTCCAACGTGATTGCGGCGGCGGTGGCGATGAGATTGTTTTTTTTTACCATCATCATCATCAGCCGTGGTCTATCCATTGCTGGATGAGTACCTCTTGTATGTATGTATGTAGAACTTCTTTCGCACCATACGTAGCCAACCGTGCTAATCGAAAATGTGGTCGTCATCTATCACGGTCCTGCAATGCCGGAATCCATATCAATCCCACACTACATACACATATGCACACAAATATACATATATGAATACACACGCATACATAAATACTAAGATTTCCCGTAGAGATATTTAGATAGTTGGGTCAAGTGCTGTTTGTAAGCACCTATTAAGGCCAGTACGCCGGATAAAGAGATGGTGTGATCAGAACCCCTTCCCCCCTACGCATCCATTTCCACCCATTTCCTTACCTACTTCGCCTAAGAAATTATAGTTAGACCCATTCACAAATATTGCAATGGATGTGAGTGGTTAATTGGTCAGAGCAGATATGCGACGTTGCACTGCAACGTCTTTTTTATCCATAATACAACCTATCACTGTCCGCTTACAGGCATTTGAAGATGTTTACATCGATCAAAGGAAAATGTTGAAGACCTTGCTGGAGTACGCCGACAAGGTGTTCACGTTCATTTTCATCATCGAGATGTTGCTCAAGTGGGTCGCCTATGGCTTCAAGAATTACTTCACCAACGCGTGGTGCTTGCTCGACTTTGTCATCGTCGGGGTGAGAGCCTGCAGCGGGCCATTCGCCCACCGCGCCGTGTGGTTCACAGGTCAAGAGTGCCCCGAGCTGACGCCGCTGCTGAGATCCTGGGTCCAAATCTGGATTTGAACTTCCCAGTGGTTAAACTGAGTTGTCCATTTTAGTGAGTTTTACAATCTCAACCCATTCATCCAGTGACTGTAAAAAATATAACCCAGTCATAATTTGGTCCCATGACTTCATTTGACTAAAGTCCAGCTCAGGGAAATAAAAAATATCTGTTTGACTGTAACGCCGCCCCATGTTGTGTGGACCTGAGACCACTCAAAGGGATATCAGGGGTAGCTCTGTGATAACCACTTCTGTGAGCTGTTTTCTGACATGAACCGTTGCACTTGTTCTGCTAGACATGCGAATGGGAGCTTCGTCTCGTGACATTGTCGAGAGCACAATTGGAATGAAACTGGAGAACCAGACAAAATATAAAGAGAGGCCTGGAACATGATTTGTTTGAGGATACGTAGGCCTTGCGGTGACGGTGTGCGGTATATTTGTTGTTGAAGTGTCACCAGGAGATCAGAGTTGTCCGTGAGTGTGCAACGTTAAGAAGGTTCCCCCCTTCCCCACGTTCACGCTCGCAGAGCTTGTAAAAATAGAGCCGTGAGGCAACTCCCTCCCTCCCCTCCCTCCCCCTTTTTCCATCTTCTGCTGTTCAATGTTCTTGAACTATTCTCCCCTAACCCACTTTGCTATATGGCTCATCACGGCTGCCGGTCTGTACACATATCTACTTAGTAATTGATTTTACCAGCATCTCATGAAATATTTAAACATTTAATCACGTTTCATGATAATGCCACCGCTGCTAAAACTTGTGCCTCTGTCCCTAGCAATGTCTTGTTACAGCAAAACGCCACCAATCAATTCATTAAAAATGATGGCGTGTAAAACGAAGGGAGTTGGATCCCTGCTGTGTGCATAGAGTTCACACTGCTGGGGCACAAACAAAACGGGACTTGCAACGGGAAGAAGGTTATCGCACAATATTTGAAGAGGAGGAGAGCTACATTTAAGTTTTTTATTTGTTACACGGATGATCCAGTTTAGCCAGTTACCCGGATATTTTCCAAAAGGAGTTCATGGTGCGTGAGCAGAGCAACAACAAACGAAAGACAAAAAACATCAACATTGCAAAGAACGAGCACAGGGTCCATAAGGAGTACTGCACGACTAACAAACCAGATATTGAACGGTTGTAAACAAAACACACGAATCAACTACAGTGCAAATGTAACTATGTGAAAGTTAGGTATAGGTGCAAGTACGTGAATGTGAATGCATTGTCGTGGGTGGCTTTTTATTGCTCTTAATCTTCTGGGAAGACTTCCAGATTTCCCAGGACAGACGACGACCCCATGTAAAAGTCCACGCTGCGAATCATCCCTCCATCGCACTCTCGCTCCCGCTCCTCTCTTCCCAGGTGTCGGTGACATCCCTAATCGCCACAATCATTGGATACGACCAGCTGACGGCCATCAAGTCGCTGCGGACCCTGCGCGCTCTCAGGCCTCTCCGGGCCCTGTCTCGTTTCGAGGGGATGAGGGTACGGCATGAGTGGCCGCGCATTTTGTATTTTCGATCAGTGGCTGTGCAGGCCCATTGAGGGGGCCCCAATCAGAAATTATTTTTGGGAGCCCCCCCTCCCCCCTTTTTAGTTCATAAAATCTGAATGCATGCAAAACTTAGATTAGGGAGATTCATTGTCTTTTAAATTAGTAATTATTTTGTTTAGTTTATTCTACGTGGCTTTACCGAGAGAACCAAAGAGTAAATTTTGATTTAAAGCTTTCGTGACTGCAGTAATTCATATTCTTAGTTATTTCAGTAAAGTCACGTTGAAGGGAAACAATAAAATAATAAAATATATATAAAACAATAAAAATTCTCACGACGTTTCGACCATAACACAAACGGTCGTCATCAGGTGTGTCGGTTTGCATAAATGTATTTATTTTTAAACGGTATATTTATTTATTTATTAAAAAACCGTTAGCGCCATGCGCAGCGATATGAAAGTTTATTTAGAAGGACGAGTCCATCTATGTTCTGAAAAGAGGAGGGGGGAGACGAAAAATTTTAATGTATGCTGTCTGAAAGCCACTGTAAGCGTGAACAATCAATTAAGACCTGAAATGGTTTATCAAATCTTTCCAATGATTGCTAAGCCAGAATCCATCTTCTCGGTTGAAATTGTCTCTGTGCTTGTATATGTGGATAGCCTCATGAACGAATCTCTCATGGTAGCCAGATGGCTTACAAAGAACCTCTGTCTTGGAAAAGTCAATGTCATGTGAGCCTACTGAATTATAACAATGATCTGCCACGGCCGAGGTGTTGGTCCTACCGTGTTTAAGGTCTGCTTTGTGTTCACGAATGCGGTCCGAGACATGGCGTTTGGTTTCTCCAATGTAACTACTACCACAGAGGCAACTTAGTTTGTAGACACCAGGGTATTGTATGTCCGGAATCACATCTTTTACAGACGGAACCAGATCACGGATTTTATGTAATGTGTTGAAACGGACCTGGATCTTGTGTTTATTCAAGATTTTGGAGATCTTTTTTGTGATCCCTGCAATGTAGGGTAAAGTGATGGTTTTGAAAGGCTCCTCAAGAGGATCCTTCTTCGTGGTTTGAGTGATAGCTTTGCGGATTGTATAGTCGGAGTAACCATTAGCCTTAAGAGCTTGGTGTACGTGTTTGAGTTTTATATATATTTTATTATTTTATTGTTTCCCTTCAACGTGACTTTACCGAAAGAACTAAGAATATAAACCAAAGAGTAGTTTATTAGCGTTTGAATTTGAACCCATAGTTTATACACCCCTATTTGTTTTTGAGCTTCTTGGGGTCTACGCATTTTGCTCGGGTTTGTTTGCGCCTGGCGCCAGCTGTCATTATTTATAGAGTGCGACTGGTGTTGATGTGTGGCCCCGAACGCTTTCCAGCAGAGGCTGGCATGGTTGGCTTCTACCCTGGTGCATGGCATTACATTGGACCCCTTGCCTCATTTCCTCCCTCTTTGTAGCTCGGTGCCTGGGCCCCCGCAGGTCCGTGGGCCCCGATGCGCTTGTGCAGCCTACACACTCGATAGCTACGCCGCTGCTTTATTGCCCTTTGTTTTGCAGCCCCAAATGACTGGAGCAACACGGGACAAACAACATCATCGTTGGTACCAACGATCCCGTATGAACGATGCGCTTGCTTCACTCCAGCTTGAAGATGTAGAATAATCAGAATCTGAATATTTATTTATCCTGGATGAATCCGATAAGCTATAAAGCTCTTTTTAACAGTAGAGAAACATAACTTAGACAATCCAGTAGGGGTGGGTCAGAACGTTACAACAAAAAAAGTACGAAGGGAGTGCAAAGTATAGGAAAGGCAAATACATCGTTTAAAAATATACAAATTAAACAAATTTATGTTTTATCTTACCACCTATAGCCCACTGAGGTATTAACTTATTTTTTAGACGTGTCCTGGCCACAAATAATAGCTCAACAAAGTGGCCTATCATGTGAAAATTTAGAGCAGCAAAATAATAATCTAAATCATAAACAACGGTGACGGAAACCTGCACGGCGGGTTCAGGCTAAGATTGCTCGTGGCGTGCCTACATTGCTCATGCGTGCGCTGCTCTCCCATGAGTCGAACGTAATTGGTTTATTGGTGTGTTTCTATGGAAATCCGATACATAATGTCACTAACACATGGACGGACGTGGTGTTTGATTGAAAATAAATTGGTGCCTTTGGTCTGGGTACGGCTGCTCGCGTGGGTGGGCGGTGTTTTCCATGGTACGACTGTACATTGCTCGTTTTATATCCAGGGATATGTTTACCCTGTCAATTAGCGATGGTCGGAGACAACTTGTTTTGATGCTGTTGAGTATGCAGTGGTCTACGGAAAGCCCCCTAGTGGCTAGCAGACCTCGACATTGAATGTATTTCAATATATTTTGAATATATAGCTCCTGAATATATTTCCGTACGCAAGAATAGAATAATAAAATATAAATGCTCTCTCACCAAGAAATCTGGAATTACTCTTTATCAGACAGCCTGGGATTAAGCGGTGGTGCAATGATTAGTACATTCCAACTTCAGTCCAATTCCCAGCAATCGCTTACAAAAGTGGCGAATGATATTTGAACAAGTCCCATTAAAGGATTTGACCAAACTTTCCAAATGCAGGACCATCCTGAAAGAGAGTCTGAAGACACAGCGAGGCTTCTCCGCATTCTGCCCTCCAATTGGATGCTGTTTTGCCGAATGCAGCACATGCGTAAGAAAAGTTGAATCCTTGGGACTTGGCAGCGCATGTGCGTTTCCCCCATGCTGAGCTCTTGACACAGACATAAGTGGCACTTGAATAATTGATAATGATACTAATGTAGGGCCCTCTGTTAATCCAGTGCTGGATTAAGGCCTCTTCACGCCATTTCAGTCATGAGGTGTTTGACCATATTTTGCCATGCTGATCAGTGTGTGATGGTGAAGATGGTGGGTTGGGTGGGTTTTGGGTGGGACAAAACCTTTTCAGATCTCTTGTCACTGATATCGGCCGTGACCAGCAATTGAACTCAGGTAACCTTGTTCAAAGTGCGTGCACTAACCCGTGCAGCCCGCTCCGCTGCAAACAAAACCTGCATTACGTATTTTTTTTAGTGTGCAAGCATTACAGTCGCACCAAGACCACGCTGTGAATTGTGATCAGGCCATATATAGTATGTGTGTATAGTAACCATGATAAACTACCACAAACCGTTATGAACAAGAATCACCCGCTTCCCTCTATTGTGTGGACCAGATGTCTCTTGAAAGGATCTCAGAGGTAGCTCTGTGTTATCTAATTCCGTGGACCATCTCTAAAACGAGAGATCTCACTGCTCCGTAAGAAATCCCAGTGAATACTTTGACACACGACATGATGCTGATCGCACAATTTAAATAAAACTGGGGAGAATATTTTTTTTCATTTAAAAAAATGTATGAAATAATGATACGTAAATAAAACAAGTTCGAAATATCATGCACGTGCATGGATTATGTAATGCTCTCAAACATGTGTGTGTCGTCAGAAGGATTTAAATAGCACTACAGACGCTGATAGGTAGCCATCAGGACTAAATGTATTTGCAATTAAAAGAGTCCTTTTTGTTCTGGTTTGAATCTCCAAGTTTGATGTAATTGACCGGTTTTATATAGGTTAAGTCTCCCATAGTTGAACAAATTTACACCACAGTTGTGATCCCCGCGCGCGTAACTAGTGCAGCAATATGGCCAGCACAGTTTTGGGGTCTCAGGCCCAAAGACCTGGAGCCAGTTACTGGCAGATGTACAGGTTCCATCCTTGAATCTGAGCTAATTTTGCCACATGCTTAAAAAACACGTGTGATTCCAAAGAGCTTACTAAATGTGATCAGCATATATTCGTGAAGGACTGGACACGTAAGAGTGCACGATAATAAACGTTCAGACTTACTAAAGTTTAGTTCATGTTGGATGATTGCGAATACGAGTTATCGTGACCCCATGTTATACAGACAGGCGGGCGGACAGGCATAGCATGAGCACTTTTAACCTCATTTAAAATCGTGAATAGTGAAATCGGCCACTGCTCGTCATCGGGCGTGCGGATGTGTGTGTGTGTGCGCGCGCCCGCTCACACAGGTGGTGGTGAACGCGCTCGTGGGCGCCATCCCCTCCATCATGAACGTGCTGCTCGTGTGCCTCATCTTCTGGCTCATCTTCAGCATCATGGGCGTCAACTTTTTCAAGGGAAAGTTCTCCAAGTGCGTCAACAGTACGGACGACAGTACGATGAACGAGTCAATAATCCCCAACCAAAACGCGTGCTTGGAGCAGTCGCCCTCCCTGCGTTGGAAGAACCTTCCTGTCAACTTCGACAACGTGGCCTCGGGATACCTGGCCCTGCTGCAAGTCGTGAGTTGCGTCCCAACGCCTCCTCCTCCTCCTCTGCGCGCGCGGTCACAGCGGCGTTTATCGCGCCAACGAAATTAGTGACGCGGAAATAATATTATCGTCGACAAATTTTGTGTTCATGAACGATGACTATGAGTGGACGAACGTCATCGAGTGTGACGACGACTGCTTTGACTGTCCTTGACTAACTACGGCAAGGTGAAATTAACTCGTCTGCATGAAGACCCAGACTAAGATTATTCGCTATGTTATTAGAGACCGCAGTGCACAAAGGAAGACCATAGCTGGCCATGGGTTTATATGCACACGGAACGATTTACTGAGTTAACTGATATTTGACTCATTTAGTCGATGAGACTAAGATTTTGACCACAATCAAAAATTCGAGGTGAACCCTGCTGCCCACGCGGCGTTAAAGCTGTATTGCTTCGTGCGTGACCTCCACGTGAAGGTCCATCTACTTAAACTACTAAAGTAAACTTGTGCTCAAGAGCTGCCATCGTTGGACAGAGCTATCCTTGCCCAAACCCCTTTGCCTGCTTTGGAATTGCCCATGATGAGCATCGGCTTCATAACAACGTTGTTTTAAGGCTATGGCTCGGCGCCAGATGTAATTACGTGATACGAGCAAGGACCCGGAGTGGAGGGGGGTGCGTATTGGAGAGAGCTTGATAGTGGTGGTTTGCTCGCAGTATGAACCCCGCCTGAGAACATGTTGCTGAGGAATGAATATTGAAATTTCATAAGCTGGCAATACTGTGTTGAGACATTACAACAAAATGGTATTTAATGCACATCACAGAGAAAATTAGATAGATATTACTATTGAACTATTTTTTTTATTTTAGCAGGTAAGACTCACTGAGCAATATAGCTCTTATTCAGACGCGACCTGGCCACAAATGATAGCTCAATGAAGTGGCTTATCACGTGAAAATTCATAGCAGCCAAATACTCTAAACGCTTGTTTCTAAATGTGGAGGTAAAAACCGGAGGACCTGGAGAAAAATCTACACGACCACGGAGAGAACAAGCAAATTCCAAATATACAGCAGGAGTCAGGGCCAGGGATTTAACCCACAACCTCCTGTATACCAGGCGAGGTAGTTAACATCTCACCACCATGGCTCCCTATATATGAAGATTTTGCAGCTTAATGCCTCTTTTCCACAGTACAACTGAACCGCGCTGGAGTCGTGCCGTGCCATCTCTGCACGGCTCAGCAGGTGCCAGGTTGAGTTTCCACTGCAGAAGCCTAGCCGAGCCGTGCCGTGCCACTGACGTCACACACAATGAATGTTTCATTAGCCCAGCAACCTGACCCTGCGTGGCCCCAGGCTTTGACGGTTTTGTTGGCTCGACAAATATACAGTGGAAAACCATCCCACACCAGGAGGGTCGCACGCTGGCACTGCTCAGATGTTCCAGTGGTACCGGTTTGAAAGTTGTGGAAGTAGGTTTTCTTGCTGCAGGGCGAAGAACATTCTTAGTGACTGTGTATTCATGGTCATGTACGTGGCATGTAAAAAAAATATTTGGAGAACTGTTTTTGTTTGTTCTATAGTTTAGCGCTAATGCAAACTGTTTGGCTATTAATGCAGCTCATTATGGATTGACCACCTAACACTCTGAGCAAGGAGCGGTGGTGCACTGGTTAGCATACTGCGCGATGGGACTGGGACCCCCCCCCCCCCTTTCACCAACTTCCACTGACCAGCATGATGAAGTATGGTCAATGAACCCCCACAATGGCTTGGTTCTATGAGGGAAATTACAAAAGTACAATAAATTATTATTTATTTTGATATGACGCTTTTAATTCAGCTCTTAGTTTTGATGCAACATTTTTTTTGCGTAAATAAATCATGTGTTGGAATGCTGAACTTCGCAAGGTAACGAGGCCGTGTTTTGTCTGTCCGTCTGTGCAGTCCACATTCAAGGGATGGATGGATATCATGTATGCTGCAGTTGATTCTCGTCAAAATGTAAGATGTTATATCCAAAGCTTTGAATTCGCAGTGTTAACACATGGCAACGACGCGCCTTTTCTACGGTTGTGTTTTATACATTCCACTCGTGCCTCATAGAACATTGATTTTTTTAACAGAATGACAGGTTAAGTAAAAATGATGATCATCGCTGAGTAGAAAGGAAACTGGGCAGGTTTTACTTGCTACCGTGTCTCATTTTCTCTCAGTGAAACAAATACAAGCTCTAAAACCCTGTCATTATTTTCCATTCGCCTGTTATTTCACGTGTGAGTTCACTGAAGCAGACAGTTCTGACACTTGAATAAACATTGCGCGCATATGCGAATAACTCTGCGTGCGATGGTATGCTCAGCACTTTCCCAAACAGCCCCCCGCCGTATACATGTTTCAGATTTGTCTCTGTAACGCAGCTGCACTGAAGGCTGAGTCCACCAGTCCTGTGCCAGGCCTCGAAACTTTAACACTAAAGCTTCGAGGTCTATGCCAGGATGAGTAAAAACTTTTTGGTTGCGGCAAGGTCAAGTGGTTGTGCGATCACAGCACTGAGCCGTCACTGCTGAAATCCTTTGGTTCGAAGTTGGTTTTCAGTTACCCGTGATTAAACCAGGTTGACAAATGTGGTTGATGGTCTTGGATTTGTCACCATTGTCTGTAAAAAAAAAATCCATAATACGTTAGCTTTTTTCATTTAATTTGGATAAATTCTCGCTATGAGAATGAATAAAACCATCGGTTTGACTGCCATGCCCCGGATGTTTCTCCCGAGCAGGGCGTGTGGGAAAGTGCATCGTCTTGTGCGTGATTAAACAAACAAAAAACTTACAAGGATCTCAGAACTAGACGTGAGAGATCTCCTTACTCGATGTGTCCTCTGACAAACAAGCAATCGACTGCTCTGTGAGAGTCGCAAATGGACACTTTGTCCCATGGCACACGATGTCGCTAATCGCGCATTTGGAATAAGAGCTCTTGTCTACAGCAAGGTACGTCCCGTCCAACTACTGTCGAAGACAAATGGACGTCATCGTCGTTGTTGTTGTTGTTGTCTGTGTCAGAACTTCTTCTTGTGGCCTTTTTCAACCTCGGCTTCAAAGCGCCATGGCCAGTTACATAAAATCCCTGAAGTTACAAAAACAATCCCCATAATGAATACTGATTTTAATAGGCATGAACGGGACTGTGTACTCGAGTTTTTTTTGTTTTATGCAACTGGCCCCTGTCTTTGAACGTAATCCCAGTGGTTTAGTCGGTGTCCTGATTAACAACTGCTGTATCCTGTGTTGTGTTATTCCATTGCAGAATACCGAACAGCCTAGGTTTGAGGAGAGTTTGGGATACTATTTGTTCTTTGTCATCTTCATTATATTTGGAGCATTTTTCATCCTCAACCTTTTCATTGGTGTGATCATTGACAACTTCAACCAGCAAAAGAAAAAGATACGTTCCCCTCTTTGGCTCCGCATTTCACTGCATGCCGCCCGTGTTCCGTAACGTGCAGTCACTTTTTTCCTTTCTTGAGCGTGCGTGTGCGCGCGCGTGTGTTCACGCTTCACGAGTGTGCTCCTAATCGCTTTGAGTTTGCTTTGAACTATTTAAGCCGCATCTCTTGCAAAAATAATTATTTTGCCACTGCCGATGCGTCTCCGGGATGGTGCTATGTTTGGAAGCAAAGCAGCGTTTTCACTGTGCGCCGATGAACCAGATGAGAGAGAGAGAGAGAGTGATGTTGCATAATTTTTACTATATTTTTTCAAAAGAGAGTAGGTGGGGGGGGGGAAACATAATGTTGACGTGAATTTTCTGCAATGGATTTGAGTTGAAAAAGTGGCTGCCAACTGTCAGGTGATCTAAACAACGATACTTTTCAGATTTTTTGGGGGGGGCTGGTGGTCTGGACGAGGCTGCTAAGCATTATGCATGCAATGTGGTGGTCTCCAATGGGATGCAAGGCATGATGGGAGTCGTGCTGTGTGTATAAGCAACACACTTTTGCCCCATGTTTGTTTCCAGCCTCCACGCAGTTTCCCATTGCAATGGGTTTTCCTCACCATTCACAGAAATGTGTTGCTCTTGAAAGGATGCTGCTCGCGGTTGTCAACGTTGGCCCTGCACGCAGAATTCAAAAACACGCCTCGTTTTGTTGTTGTTTATATCGCACGTGCAATTTGGGTCTCAGAAGTCGGCCATTCCTCTTGAAAAATATCCTATCCTCATTACAGTGAGTGTTCATGGGGAGCTGGTGAAAGGCTTTCACAGCACAACGCTGAGTGTTAATAAGACTAATTTCCTGCGAGGAGATCCCATTGTGCAGCATTACTGAGTAATAATCTCTCAAGAGCCTAGAATGCAAACCTCCTCTTTTATGGGCATCCCCCAGTGACTTCTCCGGCAGCTGAACACTTTACAGATCACGCTTTCTCCTCCGCGGGCACCCCTTTGTAGAGCCCATCCATTAAGGTGGCTCCATTTCCTGTGAAATGCAGGGTGCTAATTCACCCATTCCCTATTGGACTACATGGACACACGATTTGCAATGTGCCGCTTATTTAGCATGCGACAATGAGCACTCTGCGTGCATGCATTTATGCCATTAGGTGCCTGTTGAATGCAGTTTAGGAAGTATGTCTCTGCAATGTCCAGAGTTGTCTTCCTTTGCACACGTGCGTCTTCTCCAGGCGCTCAGATTTCTTCCCACGCACACGTGGTACTAAATACAACAAATTGGCCAAACGTCCCAAACAGGCAGCTTATCCGGCAACGAGCGTTGAGACTTGGAGAGCATCATTATAGCCTCGAAAAAAATCACCAGGAATGCGCTCATCAGCATTGAGCCTGGATAGTGCTTGCTGCGGGGTCACGTGGTGGGCAGCAGAGGGCGGTGCAGCAGATGTTCAAATGCCAAAACTGAAACCTTTTGCAAGGAATCATATTTGCATTAACCACACATACTTGTTGTGGCGAACGTGCAAACAGAAAAAAACATGCTCTGGTCGTATATGCATTGTCTTTGAAACTGATTTTTCCACACCAGAGCTGTCCCAGTTTCAAAGGCAATGCATATTACGACCAGATGATGTTGTTTGGTTGTACCGTATGTTTATGCCTCTACGCCTATGTTCCCCGCCTTCTCCAACCCACACTGACCAGCGTGGTGAATTACAGTCAAATAACCCCCAACGAGTCAAATGGCTTGGAATGGGGGGGTGGTGCTCATCCATCAATGGATTTACAAAGGGCTATACATTTGCTTGTACGTGAGGATCATTATTATTTATATGTTCAGACTATCAGCTGTCTGCGTGTTTTACAATAGCTGAATTAGTCTCGGCCTAACCCAAGCAGTGTTCGGCTTAGTTAAAAAACACGAGGACATTTCCCCCCCGTGGCCCTTTGCAGGTACGTATGAACCACTAAGCGAGGCGTCTTTCTGAATATGACCACTTGCGACAGCCGGTGTGTCCCAACGTGTCGTCGTAACGGTACGGTTTCACCCCGGAGGGTTAGCGTCGCGACCAGCCGTGCTGAATTAGCACCGCTCGCCAGAGATGAAGGCACATCGTGAGCCCCCGCTCGTTTCTCTGTCAGCGACGATGCACACCGACGCGAATGGAAGGTTGTAACCAGATTTTCTTTTCTCTTGTCGTCCCTGCACTTTGGTGGAGAAGACATCTTCCTCACTGAGGAGCAGAGGAAATACCACAACGCCATGAAGAAGCTCGGATCCAAGAAGCCCAGAAAGCCAGTGCCAAGACCGAATGTAAATACATCCCTGTTAAACTCTGTGACTAAAGAGGTGATCCCTAGATATCCGTCAAGGCAACCGAATGTAAATACATCCCTGTTAAACTCTGTGACTAAAGAGGTGATCCCTAGATATCCGTCAAGGCAACCGAATGTAAATACATCCCTGTTAAACTCTGTGACTAAAGAGATGATCCCTAGATATCCGTCAAGGCAACCGAATGTAAATAGATCCCTGTAAAACTCTGTGACTAAAGAGGTGATCCCTAGATATCCGTCAAGGCAACCGAATGTAAATACATCCCTGTTAAACTCTGCGACTAAAGAGGTGATCCCTAGATATCCGTCAAGGCAACCGAGTGTAAATACATCCCTGTTAAACTCTGCGACTAAAGAAGTGATCCCTAGATATCCGTCAAGGCAACCGAATGTAAATACATCCCTGTTAAACTCTGCGACTAAAGAGGTGATCCCTAGATATCCGTCAAGGCAACCGAATGTAAATACATCCCTGTTAAACTCTGTGACTAAAGAGGTGATCCCTAGATATCCGTCAAGGCAACCGAATGTAAATACATCCCTGTTAAACTCTGCGACTAAAGAGGTGATCCCTAGATATCCGTCAAGGCAACCGAATGTAAATACATCCCTGTTAAACTCTGTGACTAAAGAGGTGATCCCTAGATTTCCGTCAAGGCAACCGAGAAATCGGTCAGATTGTTCGGGGGCGAGTCTGCCGACCAGAGTTTGCTTCCCAGCCATGGCTAGCATCGATGGCGAGTGTTATCTGACGCAGGATAAATTAAGATTCTGATGCTGACCTGGGACCCTTCCATTTATCAACATACACTGACCAGAATGGTAAAGTATGGTCAAACAAGTCTCACGACTGACATGACATGAGGTGGCCTTCATCCAGCATTGGATTGACAAAGGGCTGTTGCTTTATAACTTGTTTTGTTAGAAAAACAGTGTATTTGTTGGTTTTAGGTAGTCTATTGTTTTCCAAAAATGTAACTGTTTCTTGTTAACATTCGCTCCAGGTGTTGTGTGCTGTGATTTATGTTGTTTTTTCTTTACAGGAAAAATGGATGGCATTCATCACATATAGCAACATCCTGAATATAACAATCTATTATTGGATGGAATCCATAATTTAACATTCGTTTACAGCATCCAAAGTGTATTTATTCAATGACACATGACTTATGAATTTCATCCGGTTCTCATGTAGGACACGTTTTTTGAGAGGATGAAGTGAATATCACAGAGCAACCCTGAGATGCCCATCCAGTGACCTCTGGTCCACAGAGTTGAGGGAACCACTCTCCCACCCGCTGTGCATATGAGAGTAACGTTCGATACATGCCAGTCAAAAAGTCAAGCCGATATAACATTTCTCAGAGCTGGAATTTGACCAAATTAAGTTCCCCTGGAAATTTTTTTGCGACTAAAATGAAACCTAACCTGGTGTATATGCAAAGGCTGGGCCCGGCCCCACTCTGCCACACCTAGTAGAGAAACGAATCTGAAGCATGGCACAGATGGGATGGAAGGCACTGCATAGCAGCACTGATGAAATATACATATGAGTCGACGTCTCTCTTAACCAAAGGCTGTCGGCCAAAATGTTAATGGCTGCGTTTTTCTTTCGCGAGTCACGTCTGTTTGCCATGCATATTTGATAACACTTAAAAACAACCCCACACATTCTGCTGTAATAAAATTAGATGTGTTTTTTTTGTTGGGTTAATAAATCACATGACTATAATTTATTTCACTTTTATTGTGATGATCATAATTGACCTGCTAATTCGCATTACGTGCGCAATTTTGATACTTGCGATAATGATCACGGCGATGACGACAACGACAATGATGATGATGATGATTTCAAGGCATATATTGATTATTTGATTTGAAGCAATTATTACAAAACAAATCATATGCATTTAGGCTAATGCAGCGAATGTGCTTGGGCAAGTGAGACCGCTCAAAAAATGTAACTGTTAAAATAAGACACAAAAAAGAAATTAATAGTTACCCTGAATCGTGAAACTTCATTAATCCCTGGGGGCCACGTGGTGAATGATCACACTCATGATGACATGAATGATGATGATGGTGATGATTACAATGATGTTTGTGACGACGATGATAATGATGATGATGACATGATGATTACGGTAATTATCATGATGGCAATGATGTTCAAGACAATGATGAGGAAAATGATGATGATGATGATAATGACCATCATCATATTCACCTTGTGACAAGCGACGGCCACCTCCTGTCGAACTGACCTGGTGCCTCCCCCTCCACCCTCCAACACAGAACAAGTACCAGGGAATGGCGTACGACCTCGTGCACTGGCAGGCATTTGAGATTGGCATCATGGTGCTAATCTGCCTCAACATGCTGACCATGATGATAGAGGCGGACGAGCAGAGCGAGGCGATGAAGACGGCACTGAACATCACCAACATCGTCTTCATCGGCATCTTCACCACCGAGTGTGTCCTCAAAATGTTCGCACTTCGCCAGTACTTCTTCACGTTCCCGTGGAACGTGTTTGACTTTGCCGTCGTCACCCTGTCCGTCTTCGGTGAGTTCCTCTATCCGCTCACGTACTGGGCACGTATCTCCCCCGCTCAAATGAGCTCGCTTAGCATTTTTGTAGTGCATTGTAGATGGTGGCTGAAACGTTTGTCTCTGGTTTTAATGCTAGGTTATGAGAAAACCAATCACTTAATAGAATTGAAATAGCCTTCAATATGTAATTATAATATTGTATATATACATTATCATTTGTGCACGTTGCATGTCAAAATGCTGGATAAGTTTTTGACAACAAGATTTTACTTTTTATTTCGATTTAAAGCTTTCGTGACTGCAGGGATTCATCTTCTTGGTTCTTTCGGTAAAGTCACGCAGAATGGAAACAAGTAATAAAAATAAAACATAATAAAATAAAATAAAATTCTCACGACTTTTCGGCCACAACACATGTAGCCTTCTTCAGGTTTTGAGTGGCTCCTTAAGAGGATCCTTGTTCATGACTGGAGTGATGGCTTTGCGGATTGTGTAGTTGGAGTAACCATTAGCCCTGAGAGCCTGGTGTACGTGCTTGAGTTCACTGGCAATGTGTTCCTGAGTTTAACACGTAGGCTTTCGCCTACGTGTTAAACTCGTGGTCGGAAATTCATTGGGCTCTATGGTATAGAGTGTTGATGAGGGAGTTCTTCTGGGATGGATGATGGTGGGAATTCGGTTTCAAGTAAGCATCTGTATGGGTAGCTTTCCTGTAGACAGAGTGGCTCATTGAACCATCAGGTCTCCTTTTAATTAAGACAGGGCTAATGGTTACTCCGACTACAAAATCCGCAAAGCCAACACTTCAGTCATGAACAAGGATCCTCTTAAGGAGCCACTCAAAACCATAACCTTACCCTACATTTCAGGGGTCACTAAAAAGATCTCCAAAATCCTGAATAAACACAAGATCCAGGTCTGATTCAACACAGTACATAAAATCCGTGATCTGGTTCTATCTGTAAAAGATGCTGTTCCAGACATACAGTACCCGGGCGTTTACAAACTAAAGTGCCTCTGTGGTAGCAACTACATTGGAGAAACCAAACGACATATCTCGGACCGCATCCGCGAACATAAAGCAGACTTGAAACACGGTAGGACGAACTCCTCTGCCGTGGCAGATCACTGTTATAATTCAGTGGGCTCACATGACATTGACTTCTCCAAGACGGAGGTTCTTTGCAAGCCAACCGGCTACCATGAGAGATTCGTTCATGAGGCCATCCACATATGCAAGCACAGAGACAATTTCAACCGAGAAGATGGATTCTGGCTTAGTAACCATTGGAAAGATGTTTGAAATCATTTCGGTTCTTAATTAATTGTATTTTACGGTGACCTTCAGACCGCAGCTCTTTCGCTGGCATTGCCTCTTAATACCTCTCACACCACGGTTACTTAGTTTTTTCAGATCGGTTTACTGTATGATAGTTGGGTAGTTGCAGCCCTTTAGCGTCCATATACTAAATGCCTCTGTTCATATGTATACTTTGACTTTAACTAATCTATTTCTGTGACCAGTCACAAGCTAATCCCTCAGCTATTTCAATGCTAAATTCTCCTGTTTGATATGTAAACTCCTTTGTCAACGCGATTTACTTCTCTCACCTAGCTTAAAATACGCTACGAATCTTAGCAGCGTTCATTGAAGTGCTGTCGTCCCGACAGTTCTGTTCCTTCACCTGAAGAAGGCTACTTGTGTTGTGACCGAAACGTCGTGAGAATTTTATTTTATTATGTTTTATTTTTATTACTTTGTTTCCATTCTACGTGACTTTACCGAAAGAACCAAGAAGAAGATTTAACTTGAATGAAAAGACTCACCGGATTTGTCGCTAACACTGCCTTACAGCAAACATTTATATCTAGTAGCGTTACGATCAGGGAAATGGCTTTTATTCAGAGGGAAGAGTGAGTGGGTAGTAAGACCGACTGACTTTATGTTCACTGATTGCATTTTACAACTTTAAAGCGTTCAATTGTACGGTCCTCTTTCTGCCAACTCTGAAGAAGAGTGATTGCCTGAAACGTCAGCCTATGATATATCGGTCTGTTATAAGGCAGTTTTAATGACAACCTTGTATCGTTGTGTTGTTGGTGTGTGCTTGTGAATACCATTGCCTATGCAGCAGTCCCTGAATTGTTTGTCTTGTTATTGGTGCTTGCGTTTTTTGTTGTTGTTGTTGTTGTCTGTTCGTTGCCGGTATTGTTTGCATCATTTAAAAAAAAACATGTGCAATGATAACATTTGTTCTAACAACAATATTCAAAATTCTCTATCTTTGAAATCAAACTGAAACAGTGAAGGTCTTTGTGTTCGTGTGGAGAAAAAGAGACCCAATGTTGGATCCGTCCATTGGTAGTATTTCATTTGTTTTTCGTTTACATACATTTTCTCTCTTAAATCCTTTTTCTGTTTTGGCTCATGGGTTTCTTTGAATTTTAAGATCGTTTTTTTTTCTGTAAATATTACGATGATACTTCCGTTTGAAAATACATGGTGTCTATGTTATATGCTATAACCTTATGCTACACTCTCAGAGATAGAGGCTTGTGAATGTGGGATAAAAATGCAACATCAAGATCATAATCTTTATTTATCCTGGAGGAGTCCGATGAGCTATGAAGCTCTGTTTCGTTCAGTAGGGGCGGGTTAGCAAGTTACATCAACAAACAATCCAAGAGACACGGTATGAGTGCTAAACAGAGATATGGTAAACAAATCACTATAAATAGATATTAATATATTATAAAAGTAAAAATTGCACAGGTGATACATTTGGAAACACAAAATGTAGGCTTGGGCAAGGCAGCAAAACAACAACAGTCCCAGACCACACGAACACAAATAGACACACAGCCCGTCAACTACATTGCACATTAAAGCCAAAAATCAATATGCTTGGTTTTTCGGTAAAGTCACGTTGAAGGGAAACAATAAAATAATTGTATTGTTTTACATATATTATTATTTTATTGTTTCCCTTCAACGTGACTTTACCGAAAGAACCAAGAATATGAATCACTGCAGTCACAAAAGCTTTAAACCAAAAACCAATGTCACGTTTTTAACATTTGTTCACATGTCACATACATGGTTGAAGAAGTATTTGCAGAAATCCTCTTAAAAGGACCTTTCCATAACACCCCTCACAATATTTACAGTACATTACCCATTCAGGGTGAATTCACCATACCTGTCACACAAGTATAATTCATGTCGAGTAAAATATGTGTATATGCCAGTTGTCCATTGAAAACGAATGCTTCAACTTTCCTTTTGCTCTTCGTACAAACCCCAGCGGGCACTCATGCCAGTGTTTAAAATTTAACATTCTAAATATGTTCATTTGCAATAGCCTGAAAAATGTATCACCACCACTCATATTTAATGTTTGTGCTGAATCTTACCCGACCAATAATAGCAGGAGGAGTGGTTGTCAGGCCTTTTTTGGCGAAACTTCCTTTTGCAAGATTAGTTTAATTTAACGATTTTAAAGTCTTCAGCATTTGCATAATATTTAATTGTATGCCTTGACTGGTAGTGTTTGCATTCCTGATAAACAAATGAGAGACGCACTGTTTTAAAGTGTCAAAATTCCATCTGCTTAATTATCTGTTGTAGACTATGGTTTTATGATTATTATCACTGCATACATTTATTTGTGACTAATATGGAAAACAACGGTCGACCCTCAAACTGACAGCAGGCTTCCAGGCCCTTGCTATGTTCACCCAACAACAGCTGCATGGGGCGATGAATTGGCCCATCTGAATTTTCATTACCGATAAATCAGGCAGAAGAAGAGCTTAGACGTGACCAATTGCAACAAGAAAGCTTATGACTGTCATGAAATATCTGTGCAAATTATAGACAACCCGTTAGGTAGTGATGTTCTAAAGAAACTGAATGGACAGCCTGCTCATCCATTAAATCCCATGCGGCATGGTGACTTCACACTCCTTTTGCGATGTTCCCTTTGGTTTGGTGTGGCCCATGGAATTGCTGTGAATGGCACCGCAATTAGTCAAAGCTAAAGCGGAAGCACGATGAGATTCACCTGTAATAAATTACTGTGAGGGCTCACGCGGGTATGTCGTCCCCCGTCCCATCCCACCGCGAGCTTCCCTTAACCATGCACACACCACATGCCTCTCCAATGGCACATCTGTAACATGTTTTTGAAATGTGACCATGTCACATGCTGAGGTCTTGTAAATTGTTGTTGTTGCAAATAAGAACAACCCAGGGCCGATGAGCCAATGTATCGGATTAAATGTGTGGGGGTGGTTTTTTGTTCACGTAATTTTGACATCATCCGCATAAATGACATAGCATAAACTTGCACATGACAGCTGGACAATTCAAATTGATGGAGGTGTCCAGGATTAATTTTATGGACAAACAAACAAACACGCAGATTAGCCACGTAAAAGATAGTGAGCTGATTGACTATTTCATGATCTTTATTACACTCGCCATGGCTGATAGCAGTGTCTTAAATTAAACAGTAACTTGTGACATGGCAACCAACCTCCTCGAGACTGGGAGAGCTTCCACAGAATACAGAAATATAGACCTGACACCAACACATTCCATTGTCCTGGGCTGCCTGATTCAACACCGCATAGCTAAACCCACTCAAAGGCCTCTGTCTCTGCTGGTGAAATTGCATAATCATTTTCCATGTATAAAGGAAACTTTAGACTGCATATGTATGTCTACGTGGCCCGTATTGACACGTAGCTATGTGTGTATACATTACATATTTTTGCGTTTGGACGAAGATCTAAATTCCAAATATTACATGTTTTTTTGACAAGACCTAACGCTTGCTGTGCTACAAATTATTACGTGCGACAATTCATTAATGGCTTAATGTCGATTGTTTACACTCACGATACGATTCTATTTACTTTTAATCCACCTTGAATATTATTCGTTGAATTGTAAAAAAATATAACCCTACGATGAACAGCTATTATAGCATCAAGAACATCTACACTGTAAATTTTCTTTGACTAAAAATACATCTTTGCCCATATCTTATTTGGTTACATATATAATTTTCCCATTATTTACTTTGAAATAATATCATTGGCAGTCTAAAGGGTATCCTAATGTGTGATGTGCCACTGGTGTTGAACTTTTCGCCTGCACCACAAATCTTAAACACCTCCAAAGATCCTGCCACACATGGGGGCCGGTAATGATGATAATCAGAATTCAGCATCGCCGTTCCCGCAGAGCGGCGTGTTCCATGCAGCTCCGTGAAGGTGATTGAGGCCAGCAGAAATAGCAATTGCACAGGCCTAGTCAGTCACATCATTGGACCAACACAAGGCAAACAGAGATGCCTCTCATCTTAAACGACCAATGCGGAGCTGGGTTTTTTGGACCAAAGCTCAGTTTGGGGAAACCCTCTCAAGGCTCAAGTACTTAACAACCAATAAGCGGTCAGACGGATCAAAAATGTCCCATTCCTCGTCGCTGTAGGAGAACGAGACTATGTGACTGAGAGTAATGTTGAGGGTAATAGTCATAACATGGCTCAGTGGCTCTCACCAGCAGCATTTAGAACCCTCAGAAAGCTTCTGACGGAAGGGCACGTTAAGGTGAACTTTTTTTTATCTCACTAAAACACTCACACCCCCTGTGTGGTGCTATTTTTGGTGGAAAGGTCCCCACTGTCTGGCAGATCAATGCATACCAGCGATTTATCGGGGCTCCTTTCTGTTTGTTGGTGCTGTCATTTTGGGCTTTCGGTTGGTGCATCGAGTTAATTGTTTTCACTAATCTCGATGATTTTTTTTTATAACAGTAATCATGATACGCGTTCAATTGCGCCTATCCTTAATGTTTTCTATTTGCATCACAGCATGATTTTGTTCTCAGCCATCAATGTGAATGAAAACTTGAATGTGAGTCGGTCACATACGTGGTCTCAAAAATATCATAATTTTCATATAATATACAGTAAAAATACGTGCATAAAAATTGTACAACTGTCTTTGAAGTTCCCTTATTTTATCATTCATAGCACATGACTGATTTGAAAATATCGGTACGATTTGTAAAGATGGACCTCATTAAATGTTAATGACGATGATGTGCATTACATCAGCGGCATACAAACTTATACCCGATAATATTCTGCTTTGGCACTACAATTGAATGATCTTAGTAATTGACAGTATTTCAGTTCTCTGATCTCTGTCATAACTAGGGCTTAACTTTCTACCGTGTCTGTCCACTTCATTTAACCGTAAAATATTTCCGGCACCCAGCGCACCACGTCCATCGTAGCTTTTACTATAGCTGTGACTACTAGTCACGAGCCTACTCAAATATACCAGCAACGTGGAAATTTATTCGGTGACAAAAATTAAGCCACGGTCATGACCAGAGTTCCTCAATCCAGCCCATCACGATGACGACGATTGTCTCCTCGCCGATCCGAGCACACCCAGAACATATTCGTGAACAGTGAGCCACGATGGGCAATCAAGGGGGTGGATTTTTTCCTCCCTTTCAGACCTCGCGATGGCTGACAACAGCTGGCTGTCCAACATCGTGGAGCCAACTTTGTTCCGTGTGGTGCGTCTCTTCCGAGTCGGTCGCATCCTGCGTCTCATCCGCGGGGCGCAGGGCATCCGCACGCTGCTCTTCGCGCTGCTCATGTCGCTGCCGGCGCTCTTCAACATCGGCCTGCTCCTTTTTGTGGTCATGTTCATCTTCTCCGTCTTCGGCATGTCCAACTTTGGCTACCTGAAGCACACGGCCGGCATCGACGAGATCTTCAACTTCGAGACGTTCGGCGGCTCCATGCTGTGCCTCTTCCAGATCACGACGTCAGCCGGCTGGGACGGGCTCCTGGCACCGACCCTCTTGAGCAAGGAGCCGGACTGCGAACCGGAAGCCGTTCACGTGGGCACCAACGTCGTGGGCAACTGCGGCAACAAGGCCATCGGCTGCGCGTTCTTCGTGACGTACATCATCATCTCCTTCCTCATCGTCGTCAACATGTACATCGCCGTCATCCTCGAGAACTTCAATGTGGCCACGGCGGAGAGCAGTGAGCCGCTTAGCGAGGATGACTTTGAGATGTTCTACGACATCTGGGGAAAGTTCGACCCCAACGCCACGCAGTTCATCTCATTCACAGAGCTCCCTAATTTCATCGACAGCCTCGACGAACCCCTGCGCGTGCCCAAGCCCAACCAGCTGGCTGTGGCAGTCATGGACCTGCCGATAGTGGAAGGCGACCGCATCCACTGCCTGGAGGTGCTCTTCGCTCTCACCAAGCGCGTGCTGGGTCAGGGCGAGGGCCTGGAGGGCCTGCGTGAGCAGATGGAGGAGCGCTTCATCGCGGCCAACCCCGAGCAGGTGAACCTCGAGCCCGTGACGACGACACTGCAGCGGCAGCAGCAGGAGATGGCCGCGCTCAAGATCCAGAAGGCCTACAGGAAGTACCTGGAGTCGCTGCCGCCCGAGGGAGGCCCCGCGCGGTTGGCGGCGCTACGTGAGATGCGCCGCGCCAGCAAGGTCCGCGACCACATCGCCACGGTGGTCATGGCGAAACGTCAAATGGCTTCGGTGGAGGCGTTGAGCTCGTCGGGCGAGGACGAGGGTCTGACAGCCGCCAGCAGCAACGGCAAGATTTCGGAAATCTCGAAAACTGGCTGAGCTCAGTTCTGTCTTTAAAAAAGGATGTAAAAATAGACGCTGCCAAGAGTGGAGGTTGTGAGACGCGACTGGGATGAGATCTTTTTTTTTTTTCGATTGTGCTTACTGACGCAAAATGGTATTTAAACGCCGTGCTTATTACTGCAGCTGGGATTGAAAATAAGAATATTAAAATAAGCAAGCCAGTTATCAGTGTTTGGCTGAACATTTTACACATTTTATAACTTTTCCTGGACATTTATATATATAAAAAACACAGAATACGGGTTAGATAGCACCAAACACTGGAACAGCAGAACACTCTTTAAATGCAGAATTACATGTTTAATTGAAGATGACATCTTAGTGAACAAAATAGAAATAAGCATGTGATTCGTCTAAGACCAGTATCACTTTCTTTTATACGTATCCATACAATATGTACTTGTATATCAGCTCATATTCGGTTATTATTTGTGTCATATTCATCATCATCACTACCATCATCATCATCCCTCACGTGACTTGCTGTGCTTCCTCTATAGGCATTGATCAATGACCCAAGATCACGCAGTGATAGTAAATGAGTCACAGCAACATGTAGCTTCTTGAGATGCAGGTGTTTCCAGTTGCTGTATTGCATCTAAAAGTGCATTGTATCAGCTGTCTGTTGCCATCTCGCACAATTAACCTCAACTCATCAGAAATGAGGCAGAAAATAGAAATAGCTCGACCGTTAAAATAATAAGTGACGTGCGTACCATTTACCTATTTATTTTTTAGGTGCGCTGTCAATAAGCTGACTTAATCTGAGTCACGGCTCTTTGTATTAATACCACAATTTGTAAAATTGCGGTCAGCAGAGTGCAGAATGGCAAAATCCATTGTTATACTGTACTATGAACCAACGTCTGATTTCCCCACCTTTACCAATCCGCACTGACCAGTGTGGTAAAGTATGGTCAAGGAAACCCCATGACCCTCTTGGCATTGATAATCTGCCATCCAGCAGTGGACTGACGGAAAGGGATGTGGATGTTCTATAACCCATTAAAATGAGTGAATGTTTACAGCACACATCATGTCACTTGCAGCGCCACTTCTGTGGGTTCAGAGGTCAAGATGCTCGTGAGTGGGTGTGTACTCGTTCATGGTTCTGGACTGTGGAAGCCCAGAGCCTGAGAAAGGGATGGAGGTTGGACGAATGAGTTTGCCCATTTGCTGATCACAGGGACATTTCTCTCACCAATTAGCAAGTCCTTTTTTGCTATTGCATAACCAACCACAAGGAATGGTTCCAAGCCCATCCACAAACCACCCTCAACTCCACTCAGCCTCTCCATCTCAATCTCCCACCACTCAGAAGACTGTCCCATCAGCCGGAATAGCTGTGCTCGTAAAATTATCATATGTTTTGTATTCTCTTTATCATCATCATCACCATGATATTTGTTTTCGAATTGCATTAGTATGGTAACAATTGCTATATTTTTTCACGTGTGCATTCAATGCAATTTACCCACTTTGAATGTTTAAATATTTTACCATAAACATTGCGGAGGGAAGAGGGCATTAGTTTTTTTTTGTGGAGCCAATATTTTATGTGACCTAATGTTTGAAACAGCATTTCAACATTCATCCTGTGTATGCCACTTGACACTATAATGCCTTGGTTGGAGAGAATATATAAACATAATGTTCCACCATTTATCAGATACCTGGAAAAAACATGTTCTATCAGATGAAATGTTTTACACAATTGTTTGTTATTTTAACATTAACTGTAAAATCATACTGTGCTCTATTTCAACTTCTTATTCTAAGTGCAGCTCCCATATGAAACCACATCTTTGTGTCGTTTCATTTGTTGGACTAGGTAACTACTGAAACCATTCTCCACTTAATAAATTGATCTCAATGATTTGCTGTGGATGGAACAGCACCTCCTCATGGAATAACAACAGCAGGTACTGTCCCATTTGACCAACCCGACGAACTTAAGGTGTGGCGCAGGCTAAAACTGTTACATGAATACAAATAAAATGTAAAATTTTATACAAAAGAGAACATTCTAGTTCTGCGGTGTTTGGGTTAGGTTTACGGTGTTGGTGAATGTAAATTTTCGTCAAATTGTTGGCATAAACGTGCCGATGTCTCCATCGCATAGTTGTTGTAAGGTGAACACCTAGCCTTCAAGGACCGTTCTTGCAGTATCCCACAATTTGGATTTAGGTCTTCACGCTGGTCGCCAACTCCAACAACGTCTCCTACCCATCACGGCCGCCTTCTCACAATTACATCCACAACACTTTCTTGCCATATTCTATGACAAACTTACACGTTTCTTATGTTCTTCTTTCAGTGAGTATTATAATCCTTTGCATGCACCTGATTTAAAATGCCAGAACTGTATATTCTGGTGGCTTTGAGTGCAGTGGACACATCCAGTATGTAATAGCTTATCCAGAATGCCTCTGAGAATCTTTAAAAATTGCACAAAATATTTTAGTTGTGCATATGCATTTACTACTTTTTAATTTCTGCCAATTAGAAAAAAAATATATTAAAGAAACATGCCACGTCCTCCAGCCACAATTGTCCCATTGAGTTGACTTCACCTGGGCAACATAGTCCTTTCTGTTTATATACAACTAAGTCCAATTACAGAAATTCTATTTTGTACTTACCTGGTCGTACATACACAATAACGCTTCTCAAGCGGTGACATTTCCGTTTACTTTCGTTTAATGTTTGTTTAACTGTTTCATCATCATCAGCCTTACTTTATCGACTGCTGTACGAAGGCTTCCCCCCAAAACGTTGCTAAACTCTCTGTTTGTCCGGCGACACACTGTACACGAGCTCAACTCATCGCTCCATCTGTGCGGTTGACATCCTCTCGGGGCACGTTCCCTGCATTGACTGCAACTCGAGCGTTAGTCTCAATCCCGTCTAAGTGACACGTCCTGCCCCCAAAATCCACCTTGTTGCGTGAACGTAATGCCTCTGACGTCACCTGTTTGTTCACAATTGTGTAAATGCATCGTTCTCAAATGTTTAACGCATCTTTGCCTTCGTCCGAACGTGTATTACGCGACACATGACCATACTAACCCGTTAAGTAAGCTTCGATACATCGTTAAACATTAATGCGCCTAATGGATGTAATATACGTTTGAAAGGAGGCATGCACCATCTCCGAAAAGGCTGTAAACATTTCAACACTCGTGTATTGCATGCGCATTGAGGTGTTCCATTTGCCTGGAGAGAAAAAAAATAGCACATCCAATTATATACACTATAGTATAATAAACAACAATAATTACGCGTGCAGAGAATGAACCAATGCCGTCCATGGGTGGTATTAGGGTTATGACGCTCTTTTGACATCTTAGAATAGTTAAACGCTTTGAAGGTGTATTTAGAATAAGTTGCGCAATTACACGTACATATACGATCTGTCCAGGTGATGCAACGGTCGAGCGCGTGGCTCGCGATCGTAGATTTGTCAATTAAAATCCTGGCCAGAAATTGTCGCGCCCCTTCGTATCTCCGGGGGTCGGAAAAACGGGTACCAATTTGTGCGGAAGTCGGCACTGGTTAACCTCCGGATAGACTCGCCCTGCCCCATAGGAATGTGGAATTTCCACCACTGGCTCAGCGCTGTGCACAGGATATAAGTTGAGAGAGAAACCACCAATTCTGTATTAAGACAGACGATATGAACATTTCTCTTGTGTATTGGGTATCGCCATTAATGAGTGAAATCACTTCTAACGCTCACGGTACATGCGACAAATCGTGCGCATAAGGATCCATTGGTTTTGAAAGCTCCATACAGCACGTTGCATGTAATTGCATAACGTGACCGCCTGCGGCCAGTGGGGCCGCTACTTTCCCCACAAGCACAACGTTTGAAAATATCATTGGTTCTTTCCATGACATTCGTGACATTTCAAAGGTGACGGGGGAGGTGGGGGGGGGAGCATTGAACCACAATTCCATTTGCAATTCAAAATTGACACTGACAGGACCTTAATATGCATTAAGTACATTAGTAAATAATTGAGTGTAGAGGTACAGCATTTCGATACAACGTTCCCATTGATGAATTGACAGCATGAGAAGGAGAGAAAAAGCCGCCGTGAGTGTGTCTTGAACTGCACTACGCTTACGTGCAGAGACCTCCGCTATATAATTGGATGTACGATGCTGTTTTCTAAAAGGTTACGTTCCATGTACAAATATCAAATAAATCATGCTGTTACATTGTTTTCTTTCCCCCAAAAATGTAAAACTTGTCGCAGCTGCAGACGTGAAAATACAAATAAAAAACATTAAACGTCATTTCTACAGAGAACGTTTGTGGCTTACTGTGAGTGATGTGTGCCGCCTATGGGTCCGATGCCTTTGTCTCGTCTTGCCTCAGCCAATATCAAACATCGCATGGGTGGCACGGGTGGCTCTCAGTTGAGAGCGCTCAGCTGGCCCCACTGAAACCACCCCCCCCCCCCCCAGTTCAAATCCAGGCAGCCACCTACGATGGAACTGGCGTCTAAACGTATGGCGTCAACTCAGTCACCAATGTCTGCGCAAATATATTTTTTTATCACGATAGGTTTAGTTCTCCACTTAATTTATCTCAAATTCCAGCTATGATTATGTATATATACGTGAATACGAGGAATAGCGAAACTACACAAACTCTCTCCTGAAGCCCTCTCGTTGCCAGCGGATCTCGACATTCGGCATTTTTCTTCTGAACATATCGTAATACGCCATAGAATATAGAATAGAATGGATACACCAGTCAGTCGATCAGCAGGTCGTGTCCGGTGGGGTAAAGTGTGGGTTACTCCCACCTAGACCAGGGGTCGGCAACCAAAATAACGAAGAGACTTTTTTTTTTGGAATTCCATAAAAAAACCCTCAATGCTTCAAGAGCCGCAATGCTTGTGAATGCGAGACAGTGGCTCCTTCATAAATAAACGTCACGAAGCAGTCCTTAAAGAGCCGCATGTGGCTCCGAAGCCGCAGGTTGCCGACCCCCTGGACGAATCCAACATAAAACAATAGGTTTTACTCTTTCTGGCAATGAAACAGGTGTTAAGATGATGTTAAAACACCAAACTAAAACCCTTCGCAAGAAATAATGTCTGCATTAACCACAAATATTTGTCGTGAACATGCAAACAAAAATCATGCTCTGGTAGTATATGATGCATTGTCTTTGAAATCGATTGGTCCACACCAGAGACAGCTTTCTTTAGAGCCTCGTCTCAAACAGTGTTAGACCAGAGGACGTCAAAAGGCGAACAGCACAAAGACAATGCCACTATCAGGACATTGAGAGCTCGGAGTGAGCAGCTACATCATGGGACCTCCCTTGCCAGTATCAAAATATAAGAATAGGTTTGACCAATTCTGGCAATGAAACAGTTGTGTGAAGATGTTAAAACACCAAACATGAAACATTTTGCAAGGAAACATTCACGATGTAAATGTACTTAATGCAGACATTATTCCTTGCAATAGGTGTCAGTTTGGTGTTTTAACATCTTAACACACCTGTTTTGTTGCCAGAAAGGGTGAAGCCTCTTCTTATATTTTGATACTGGCAAGGGAGGTCCCACGATAAACCAACATCCCTGTCGAGGGGCTCTCCAGAACTCCCTCCAGCAGTGGCGTGAGCACCAACACTTGATGGGGTTTCTGGCAGCAGACACGACGAGGCTTGCTGACTGCTCATTGCCACCGTGCATCAGCTTTTTACGCGCGATGAGTGAATAATTCAACACCGACACTCGGTACCGACTAAAGGCCCCTCTCTCTGTGGGGGGGTGGGGGGGGTGGCTTTACCACACTAATGGAGATGTCTGGAGGGAGAAACGTGACGCGCTTCCGTGCGTGTCTACTCCTCCTGCACTCTCGCGACGAGAAGACGTCCCCACACGCAGGAGGACGCGTCCCAAAAAAGCGTGCGCCCGGTGTCAACAATGAAGTTACGCGAATTCTGTCAAACGCAGCTACCGCATTGTGAGGCGTATGCATGGTGAACTTCTTCCGCACCGTACGCAGCCACCCCTGATAATTATCTGAAGTGCAGGAAAGGCAGCAATTACTACCATGTTTTGCTTTAAAATACGGGATGAAAAGTGCCTCTTACAATGCGGAGACTACGGTACGGCAGTCATATCAGACCAGTCCATCCATACCACCTGTGTCTGCCCCGTGACCTGCCAGCGAGCCTTCGACACTTGACGTGGCCTCAAGGTGCACCTAGCCTGGGACGAACACCGTGGTGGCGTCACCACCACTTACTGGCGAGTGGCCATCGGCGCATCCACGCAACGTCGTGGACGCACGCAGCGAGGTCCAGGCAACAGCTGTCTGCTGCACTACGCAAGTGACGGAGCAGCTGCATTCGAGCCCGTATACTTGACACCAGGACCTGCCGTGGAGCTGTGTGTATTGTTATTGTGTAGAGAGTACAACGTTGTAATTTGAGGACGCGTGTGGTTTCTCAATCAACACATGTCGGTGTCGATGTCGACTCAAAAGCGAAACGAGTCGAAGCATCCACAGGAGTGAATCTTTGTTCGCCGGTTGCGATTGGCGTCTTTGTACGAGTGAGCTCTTGGCCATTTTGTTCAAAGAGGATTCCTCCAGTCTCAATGAAGATTCTGATGATTATTTATCTTATTTACCGTGTGCGTGTGCGCCGAGCCAGCGCAGGCAGCACGCCTTGAGCATTTATTTTTTAATGAAGAATGCGGTGGTCCCTTAGCGGACACACAGGGCTTCAACAACGTTGGTCCTGACCGTCGGTCTGACACCACGGCCAGTGCCGGGTTATTCATTATCCTAGGAGCAGAAGTAGCTACATATGTAGTAGCTACGGGCCCCGCACTTTCAAGGGCCCCGCGCTAAATGCTTTCAAACTATCAATTCCGGTCCAGTGAGTCTGCACTTGCTCTATTACTATAGTACTATACTGCCTTCATCATTTATTATGAACGACTGGGTGTTTAAGGTTATCGATTTGTCGTATTATCTGGCTGTATAGAAAATGAAAAAATGCAATTACTTTACTATGCAAGTAAAAAAATGTGTGTTTTAATATTCATATGTTTTTATTTTATTTTATTTAGGACCCCTTTATAAAATACACTACAGGCCCCGCACTAGCTTAATCCGGCACTGACCGTGGCTACGTGCCGGATTGTCGCGTGAGCTCCCACCCCCACCCCCCGTCCCACCCCCGTCCCACCTCCACACACACACACCTGTGTAGGCTCGGTGCACACAGGAGGAACCCATTGAGTAAGGGTTCCCAGTCGCGGCGACGAAGATCGAAGCCAGGTGAGCGCATTGTAGGGGTCGTCCACGAGGAAAGAGGTTTTCATACCTGTCAACCCCTCATCAGTGCCAACCTTATCACAGACCATTTCAGAACCTTATTGGTCACCGCGTGCCCGTATAAATCACAACGTTCATATGAGAAAATCCCATCACAAAGGAGAAAAACCAACAAAAAGCCAAACACGTCTTTTTTGCCCGTATTTAAACGGCTATACGCCGTATGGGCCTGTCAACTCAAATTCCATGTATAAGAATACGGCTAAACCGTATGGGTTAATAGCTATGGGATTGTCGGGTCGTCCATGAGGAAAGCGGTTCCGTTGTTGACGATGAGAGAGAGAGAGAGACTCCTAGCGCCAGCACAAAGACTCTAAGGATGCAGTCATCGCACTGAAAGGAGCCATTGAATGTTTGATATCAAAGAGACCGCGATCTCCCGTGCGGCATATACAGACTGTTGCCGGGACAAGTGCTTGTTTGTGAGCACCTATTGGGGTCGAACGACACACGAGGGCGCGGCGTGACCAGCACCACGCCCGGCCACAATTTTCTCTTCGGGGGTGTTGCGTGCACACCTCATCAAATACACTGGTTACTGTAAGGCTGAGTCCACCTAGGAGAGGCACAACAAGAATTCAGATGTCACTCACAAATGATGTCAACCATGCCCGCGAATCAAACTGGGGTAACCGGATTCGTAGGGGAAGTGTCCTCGGCAATGGCACCCCCCCCCCCCCCCCCCATATGAACACACATATGAACATAGGTACGAGCACATGATCGCATGGACATAGGAACTGGCGCATGAACACATGGACACATACTTAAACGTAGGGACTATCACGTGAACACGTACTTAAACATATGAACTGTCACATGAACACATGAAAATAGGAACGAGCACATGAACACATACTTAAACATAGGAACTGTCATATGAACACATGAACACACACTCGAATACTGCCGAGAGGATATTCACTGTGGAGGAGAATTAAATAAGCTCGCCTGCAGTTTATCGGTCCATTGTCACATCCTGCAGTGGACTGATCATGCTCGATCATGATGTTGAACATAGGAATGTGCACGTGACGATATGAACACACATGCGAGTTACGCACCAAAGCAGGATTCTTTCCCCCACAACGTAGATTTATTTTACACTAAATATCGATGCGAGCACATGCCCGCAGAACTGAATGCTGTATAAGGCGAAATGACAAGCTAAACTTGGGCCTCGCCGATGTAAGTTATGGCAGCACTGTCAGTCCTATATTCAACACGTTGGTTAAGTCGACGCTGTCTCAAAGGGACCGCATAATGATTCAATATGACAGCGGGAAAACGCGTAAACGGATAAGAACTCCATCATCTTCATTCATTAACTATCCACTGCTAGTTGATGGCATACCCATGTCATCGCCATCCTCTATGGTTTAGTGAAGCAACGATCAATCTGGCCCCTCCACCGAGCTGCTTCAATTGCTCCTCCTGCACGGCTGATGTCCTCGTTGGTGTGTTCTCTCCGGTGGCTGCCACTGTCGTTATCATCGGCCACCAAGCCACCATCCCATCGAGTGTCGTTTCCTCCCCGCATCAACTTCACTTGATAGTCACTTTGACGTCTCCAGTTCGTGTACCTGCCATTGCTTGCTGCGTGAAAGTTCACTGCTCAAGGGGTGTTTAGTTGCAGAAATGTTTTTTTTTTATCGGCATGGCGTGGCTTTTGGCTGCTAGCCATCGAACAAAGACGGTCACCGCATCGCGCGCTTTCGGATGCGCTTCTGCGGTCGCCTGGAACGCTCTTCCTTCCGATATTAGGAAGCCACTGGAGCTATATACTTTTAAATCATCTAGATTGAAAACTCATTTATTTAAAAACATTTTTTAAATATTTTGTTCGTTGTTCTTCCCCCGCACCTCCGATTAGCACGGTTGGCTACGTACGGTGCGAAAGAAGTTCAACATCCTTACATTTATGTTGA